ACACCCTGATCTCTTCTTGGCTCTAACACCCTCTACAGCTCCCCATTTCCCTGAGGATGAAGTCTGGGTTTTTCTATCCAGCCTGTGATGTTCTGAGGGTCCCAGTGTTATAGTCAGGAAAAACATTATTTCCTGTTGACCCCCAAAACCTTACTGTGAGTGCTTTTCCCAATGTCCTTACACCTCCTTCCCTTAGCCTGGGAGTTCCTAGGGGCAAGTAACAACTCCCCCCCCCCCAATAATAACAGTTCTCAAACTGGGCCCTCATTCTGGATTAAGGGCTTTATTACATGCGCTTGGTCAGTCTTTCCAACTGCCCTCCAGGCTGGGTATTTACAGATGAAGAAACACCCTCAGAGGGGTCTATGATGGCCCAGGGTCACTAAGGGGGCCCAGAACCCAGCACGAAAGGTTCCCTCCTTCCTGCTTCTTCCCGTGACTGGATCCGGCTCTCACAGTCTCACTTACCTGTCTCCTCCCTGGAAAACTCCTTGGGTGCCCGGTTCCCCGTCACAGCCCTGCCGTGGGCGCCTGGCCTCTGTGGACGTGGCCAGCGCGTGCATGTGAGTGCACCTCCTTCGAGGGCTGACACCTGTCCTCCAGGCCTAACGAACCTCTGAAGCAGGCTGTGTGCCTGCACCCAACTCCCAGATGAAGTAACCGAGGCTGCAAGAAGTGCAGTTCCCTACAGCCAGGAAGGCGGGGGCGGCTCACTACCCTCAGAGGCAGATCAGACCATGCTCCCCCCAGTCACAGGCACCCACTTACACACGTGCACACACAGCCTCACAGCCGGGCTCCTGCTGCAGACGCCCGCCTCCCACACGCAGGCGGCCGGCTGGCGTCTCCGCGGCTGACACTTGTAAATACATCCTCCCGCTGGGCCCGCTGGTTCCTCGCTTCTTTGCGGCAGCAGCGGGGAGGGAGACGGGCAGGCATGGGGGTGAAGGAGGCAGAGGACCGAAATTGTTTTAGCTTCTTCCCACCCCCGACACCCCCAGCCCCCCAGCCCCTCAGCCCCTTCTCACTCCGTGTTAGCAAGAGCGAGGGGCGCCAGGCCCCGGGCTCCGGTGGCCCGTGAAGACACCCCCACGCTCAGTGTCCTTGGAGAGCTCCAGGAGCTGCCCTGGCTGGGCCAGTGTTGGGGACTCAAGCCAGTTTCGGCCCCCGCTCCCCTGCCCCCCCTGAGCTCGCCCACCCACTCCCTTTCTTCAGCGGCCTCGGGATGGCTCTGCAGGGAGAGGCAGATGGGCCGGGAGCAGATGGCTCGTGGGCTCGTAGGAGTCGCGGCCGGGGCTGCAGCGTGGGCGGAGAGGGGCGCTGGCCCCCAAAACGCCTTGACGGCGGGACCGGCGGGGAAGCCGCCCGGCTGCGGGGGAGGGGCTCCCGGAGGCTCCAGAGCAGGCCCCCCCTCATTCCTCGCGACACCCCCACCTCCACTTCCCCACCCCCTTATTCCGCGCGCCCGCGCCCCACCCCGCAGCGCCAGCCCCTCCCTGGCCCCAGCGCGCAGGCGCGCGGCGAGGCCCGGAGACCCGCGTGGCCCCTCCGAGGTACCAGCCCCGCGGGTGGCGGTGGCGCTGGACGGGCCTGCGGTCGGGGTGCTGTGCACCTGCGGACCCTGCCCTAGACGCAGGTCCGGCCCGCGCTCGCCTCCACCCGTTCCCGGAGCGCAGAGGCGCCGCGGCGGGCGGGGCGCGCCCCCTGCTGGAGACGGCGCCCCAGCTCCGCGCTCCGGGCCGAGCCCTCTCCAGAGGGGCGAGCCCCGCTCGGGGTAAAGAGTCCACGCCCGGGCTGAAGCATGATCCCGGAGAGACACCCCAACTCTAAGCTAACCCCCACTCCCGTAGATCCCCTACCCGCTAAACCCGCCATCCTGGATAAACCCGTGATTCCAGGCTGAGCCCCAACTCCGAGTTGAGCTGCGAGCTCAGAATAGAAGCCCCGGTTCTCAGCTGAGCTTCTCCCTAATGGAGCCCCAAGTCTGGCAGAGCACGATCCCGGCTGAGCCCCCCATCTGGGCTGAGCTCCCGACTTTGTGTAGATCCCGCGTCCAGATCTCAGGCTGAGTGTCACCTCTGATCTGAACTCTGGACTCTGACAGGAGCCTCTGGCTCCAGACTAAGCCCCCAGTTTTGACGCCCAATAGAATCCCTGGTCTTGTCTTCAGTAGGCCCAGGAGCCTCCTCCTGCAGCCCCCAAGGTGTCAGCGCCACCCGGAGGCGCTGAGCACATTACAGCCGGCTCAGGCTGTCCCTCTTTGTAATCCCACCATGCGCTGAGTGTCCTGGGACAGATCGCTCCGTGGCTGGGTTACTCTGAGGATTCAGTGACTTAATGTAGGTAAAGTGCTAGTAGTGATTGGCACATAATAAGAGCTCAATAGACATTAGCTATAATATTGTTATTATTACCTGACAGCTGCTGTGTACTTAAAATAAACTGGCTTTATTGAGATGTAATTCAGCTAACACCCATTTACAGTATACAAGTGTTTTTTTGCTATATTACATCCTTCATTTTTTTAAATTGTGGCAAATACATAACAAAATTTACCACCTTCCCTGTGTTTAAGTGCACAGCTCAGTGGCATTAAGCATGTTCACATTGTTGTGCAGCCATTCCTACCCTCCAGCTCCAGAACTTTCCCTTCTTCTCCAGCTGGAGCTCGGCCCCATTACCATTAATTCCCCTCCCCCAGCCTCTGGCACCACCATCTACTTCCTATCTCCATGGATGTGACTCCCCCAGGGCCCTCATGTGAGTGAGTCACACAGGATTTGTCCTTTCATGAACAGTACCCTTCACTTTATGTTTCCAAGTCTCATCCACTCTATAAAATGAATCAGAACTTCCTTCATTTTGGTGGCTGAATAATATTCCAATATATGGATAAATCGCGTTGTTTGTATCCATTCATCTGTTGATGGCTTTGGGGTTGTTGCCATCTTTGGGCTGGTGTGACTCATGCTGTCACCGAAGTGGTTGTACTAGTGTCTGTTCAAGTCCCTGCTTTCAACTCACGTGGGCAGAGACCCATGAGTGGAATCACTGGGTCTGATGGCAATTCTATGTTTAAATTTTTTTGAGGAACTGCTGACTTTTCCTATAGTCATTGTAACATTTTAAATTCCCACAAGGATTGTTAGGTTCCAATTTCTCCACATCCTTGAGGTACTTTTAAGGTGCCCTTATCTGTGGACCGATAGTCTTCATAATTCTCATGTCACAGATTTGGAAAATGCAGTCTCAAATTGATGAACATATGTGGGCACAGAGTGACAAAGCTGGGTTTGCATTCACCTCAGTGACACCAAACTACTGTCCATGCCCACCCTGGACACAAAGAAACAATGTCTACAGTTCCATGAGGTGCTAAAAACAGCTCCCCTGCCTCTGTGACCCCCACCAGCTACACTATCTGAAGGAGTCTCAGTAGTTTAGGGTTCAGAGGGCATGAAGAGATGGAAATACAATAGTAAGTTCCAAACCAGGGTGAGTCTGTCCGCCAAGGGGCACTTGGCAATATCTGCAGGCATCTTTGATTGTCATGACTTTGGGGGGGGGGGGCAGGTATGCTACTGGTATTGAATGGGTGAGGGCCAGGGATGCTGCTCAACTCCTATGCGCTGGACAGCCCCCCCACCACCACCAAGGAGTCACCGGATGAGAAACCCTGGTCTGGAGCGAGGGCAGGACCTGGCTGGGGTGGGAGGAAATGGCACTGGCACTCCTGGGTTTGAATCCCAGGCTTGCCACTTGTGACTGTGTTCTCAGGCAAGGCCTTCCCACTCTGGGTCTCAGTTTCCCCTGCCACATTGGGCATTTATTTTTGGCTCATGATGCCTGTGCCAGGGTTCTGTGTCCCCGGTGTGCCCATCAGGATTTGACACACAGCAGGCACATAACCAACATTTGTTGTCTGCTCTGGCCTCCCCTGGCCTTAGCCCCACCGGGGACTCAGAGTTGGGGCTGCAGGGAGGAAACAGAGCAGCAGGGAAGCTGGGAGTTGCTACTGGGCCCAGTTCCCAGGACTCACAGCTGCATCCTGGGGGGGGTGGGGGGGTGAGGGGGGTGAGGGCCCAGCTGCCCCCCACCTCCCGCTGGCAAGATGCTCCTACGTGTCCCACAAGGGCCCATTCCTACGGAAACTGAGGCTGGACTGGGAGTCCTCTGTTGGGGTCTCCAGGGCCTGTCCACCCACTAACTGCCTCAAATCTTATCCCAAGAATTTGTCTGCAACTCAGAAAGATTTATCTTCAAGCCTGGGTCCAGATTCAGCCCATCTGAGGGTACAAGAATCTGCATTTTAAAACGGGCTCCCAGCTAATTCTGTTGTAAAGGGGTTTTCCAGGTCGTACTTCAAAAAAAAAAAAGCTTCACCCTAATCCCAATTACCAAAGTAGGTAAACTGAGTCCTCAGCTTTTTGAAGGAGGGACTCCCCCAAAGTCACATGGCTGGCTTAGCTTTCTTTTTGCTTTTCTGTCTTTTCCTCTTCCCCACCACTGCGTCTCCTTCCTCCCCTTTCTTTGGCTCAAACCCCACGTCCCCATCCCCATCCCGGCAGGGCCCCCAACATCCGGCCTCCGAGGGCGATTCCGGAGGAATCCCCCGGCCGCTTGGCCCCGCCCCGCCCGCTTGGCCCCGCCCCGCCCGCGGTGTGACCTGCGCCCATTGAGTGCTTCGTACGTCGCCCACGCTGCCATTGGCTCAGCCGGCGCCCTCGGCCCGCCCCCAGCCCCGCCCCCCACAGCCCGCTCGGGGGAAGGGGCGGGGCGGGTCTGCCGGGGGCGGGTCTGCCGGGGGCGGGTCTGCCGGGGGCGGGGCCGAGCCTCCGCCCCACCCCGTGCCTGTCCCGCTCCGCAGGCGCGAGTCCCGCAGCTGCCGCAACCGCCCCTCGGAGGCGGCGGGACAGATCCCCGACGGTCGGGCCGCGGAGAGCAGGTGAACGAAAGATGCCGGGGCGCCCCGTCTCGTCGCATGTCGAGGGCCGCCTGGCCGCCGTCTGTCTCTCCCGCCCCCGTTCTCCCTTCCTCCCCGCCCCGCTCTTTTCCTGCCTCAGTTTCCCTCTTCTGTTTCTCCCTCTCCCTCTGTCTCTCGGTCACTGCGGGGGTTCGGGGAAACAACCTGGGTCTGAACTGCCCCCCCACCCCCGTGCAGGACCGTGCCCTGGGACCAGCGTCCATCCCTCATGGGGACTCTGATGGACTCTGCCCCATTCGCGGTGCCGGGTGCCAGGCGCTGGAGCCAGATGCTGAGTCGGGAGGCCATTCCAGGTGGTGGGAGGCCCGGTCAAAGGACCGATCCCTGCCCCTGGCTGATCCAGGAAGCTGGGGCAGCCAGGACCAGGCCCACCTAGACAGACCTACCTGGGATGCACCCAGTGCCCTGAAGCGTTGGCCTCAGTTTTGCCAGCTGTGAACTGGGTCTGTCTCCTCCAAGGTAATTGGCAGGTGATCTGACCCAGATCTGCATGCATCAGCTCCTCCTCTGTCCTGGAGGGCCAGCCTGAAGGAGGGGCGGTCCCAGCTGTAAACCAGACTCCAAGGTTACTTCCTGATGTTGTCTGAGCCCAGCTGTGGGAAGCGAATTCCCTTGGGAGGGTCTCAGCGGTGAGAACCTTTCAGCCCGTGGTTGGGACATCAGATCTTGGAATCGACAAACCTGGGTTCCTATCCTGCCACTCCCTCTGGCACTTGAACCAGTGAGTCTCTGTTTGCTGTAAGTATAATGGAGAGGGATACTATTCTCTGGGATTCGGACTGCTTCCAGAATTTAATGCAAGAATGTGAACCTTACAAGTTTCCTTCTTGCCCCCACCTCCTCATACTCTCCCCTCACTCACTCTGCTCCAATCCCAGGGGTCTCCTTGTCCTTCCCACGTGCAGGGCACAGCCCTGCCTCGGGACAGTAACACAGACTGTGCCCTCTACAGCCATGCCAGGCCCACGGGCGCCAACTTTGAAACATAACAAGTTGCCTAGATGGGCCGGGCCGGGCAAGGGCTGGGTGGCTGGGAGGGGTGGAGGAGGGGCCGGCCCAGGGACGCTGTACCTATGGAAACCGAACAAAGAGCCTGCCCAGCCACGCAAACACTTGAGCTGTGCTTCTCCCGGCTTGGCCTGGGAAGCTCTCGGTGGGTGAGTGCCTGGGTCCCTGGGGTGGGGTGAGGGGGTATTCCAACCCACTGTGACAGGAGGCAGGGGGTCCCTAGGCCAAGAGACAAGTCAGACAGGTGCAGATTTAAGACCCACGTGTTCCCTCCACTGTGCAGCCAGTTTCTCACCTGAGGTCTGAACAGGTGAGGGGCCTTGGGGTTGCTTGGTGATGCGATCTGGATTCAGGAGGCCTCAGTGTCCCCGCTTGTCAAGTGAGGTCACCAGAGGGTCCCTAAGACAAAATTCCAACTGTTGTCATGGAAACAGCCTCACCAAGAGGCAAACGCTGAATAAATGCCTCCAGCTGGTCTGGACACAGTCCCACACGTTACAGATGGAGAGCTGGAGGCTAGAGACAGCAGAACTTGGTAGAGTTACATGGCGAGCCCATCTCCCCTGTGATCCCTCCCTTGGTATCCCCCAACACCAACCTTGAGGCCACCTCCTGCAGCCCTGCTCCCTTGAACTGCATGGAATTCTTGGCATCTTCTAAGACCCTGATCTCTGTGCTTCAGTTCCTGTCTGTCTGGGGGAGCTAGTTGTCTCCTTCTGGAAAGGAGTTGAGATAACTGGTGACTAGAAGGGCACTGGGTGGGGGGAGGGGAAGAGGAGAGAGTGGGAGGCATGGGGGGAGGGTACTTCATAAAGTTTTTACTGAAGGCCCCCGATGAGTCCCTCAAAGTGGGTGATAGGCCACATCGGTCTAGAAACTTCCTTAAAGGGCTTAGACCACTCTCCTTCAGGATGGGCTGGAATAAGGAAAGGGTCTCCCAGCTTAAGCACTAGGTTTAGAGCTTGAGCCTACCTTATCGTTGTACTGTCAATTTAGTCAAGATCCCAGTCCGCTCTGCCTCAGTTTCCCGCTCTGATATAACCGCAACCTGGCAAGTCCATCGAAAGAATTTGGCAATGAGGGCTTGGAGGTGAAATGCCTAGTGAACGCTCCCTGCCAGGTCACCTGCAGCACGTGTCGTTGGTATTCTAGGGGTGGTAGAGGCTGGGGGCCATCGAAGTCCCTTTCTACCTGGGCAGGCCCAATGGGGCTCACACTGCACTTCTGTGTGACCTTAGAGATCTGTTTCTCTCTGGCCCATTGTTTTCCTCTGGCTGGACCATGGGGCCCTTGGATGAGATCTGGACCTGAGCTCCTCTGGGACTGGAAGGTCATTTATTTATTCAACAAACAGATTCTGAGAACCTACCATGAGCCGGACCTGGTGCAGGATAACAAATACCCTGCATGACCAAGGCCTGGGGAGGGGGAGGGGGATGACCCATGTGGTTGAGGGAGGTGGACATTCATCCAGCAAATTCGTAATGATTCATTATAATTGCATAAAGATGGTAGAGGGACAGATGGATGGGAGGACATGTGAGTCCAGGTCTCGATGACCAGAAAGAAGCAGTTAGTGCAAAGGTCCTGGGGCAGCACCACACATGGTATGTTGGAGGGACAGCAAGGAGGCCTGTGTGATTGGAGCAGAGAGTGAAGGTGAGAGAAGGAGGAGGTGAGGGCAGGGAGTGGATGGGGCAGATTGTATAGGGCTCTGTGGGCAGCTGGGAGGACTCGGGCTTTGAGCTCTGAGAGAGGTGATTGCCCTGGAGCTCTCTAGCTGCTGTGGGGAGCGGGTTGAGGGTGGGAGCCAGGGGACCATGTGGAGGAGACCAGGGGCCCAGGGTGGAGGCTGCGGAGGTTGGATTCATTTAGGGGCTACATACACACCCTTGAGTCCCTCTGCACTGCCGCAGCCGGGGCTGAGAGAGGAGAGCTGGAGTGATGGCTTAACCCGGCCCAACAGGGCCATCAATTATTGACACCCTTTGTGTGAGGCATGAAGAATTCATGTGGTGGGGGCTGGCTGCCCGTGGACCAGTGGCTCGCCAGAGCCTGCTTGTCTTAGCTCACGAGAGCCACTTGCTTATTTTCAGGAATTTTGCCAACCAGTTGTTGAACATAGACATATTAAAAATGTTAGACTATGAACTTACAGTTAAATGCATTGTATTTGAAACAGTGGCGTGGAACATTATTCAGCCATAAACAGAGGGGAAGCTCTGACACATGCTGTAACGTGGATGACCTGAAACATGCTCAGGACACACGGCAGAGTGTGTGACACCATTGATGTGAAATGTCCAGGACAGACACAGCCACGGGGACTGAAAGTAGATGAGTAGTTGCCTGGGGGTGGGGTGGGGGAAGGGGCTTCTTTTTGGGGTAATGAGAATGTTCTGGAATGACATACTGGCCAGGGTTGTACAGCTCTGTGAATACATGAGAACCACTGAGTTGTAAACTTTGAAAGGGTGAATTTTATGATATACAAATTCTGTTTAACAACAATTATAAAAAAGCAAAGGTAATAGTGAAAAATCATAATGGTCTAATTATTTTGCTATGACTAAAGCTCTTGAGATTATTTTCATCTTGTGTATATCTGGTGGAAATGGTGAGCATCTTCCTAGCTGCACACTGACTGACATCAAGTCGGAAGCTTGAAATTGGCCATGGTGGGAGAATTTACACTAGGGGAATTGGTAGATGCCACAAATCAAGGGCATTAGCTGTGTTGATTGTCTAGACCTGGAGTTGGCTCATGGTTTCAATAAAGGGGCAGATGGTAAATATTTTTGTCTCTGCAGAATATTTTACTCTGTCACATCTATCCAACACTACAATTAGGAAAGCAGCCATAAACAATACAGAAACACCGGGCATGGCTCTGTGCCAATAAAACTTTATTTACAAAATGATGCAGAGGGTCTTTGCTTGCCAACTCTGGATGGAACTTAAGCAGATGTCAATAATTAAGATTAAACTTAAAATTCTACCTTTATGTATAGCTGTTTCACTGTGAAAGCACAAAAACACTGAAATATTCTCCCGCTCTTTGAAACCTACTATTTGATTCAGCTAAGAGGCTGCTCATGGCATTGATAAGGAGGGAGTGGAGTTCTAGTTCTCCTTGTTAGTCTTGTGAATATAAAGGGTGATATCCATGTCGGAAGTACGTTTCTTTGTCATTTACAACAATAGGTTGAGTCATACAAGTTTGACAAAACTTCAACAATAACATTTTTCCAGAAATAGTTGGGCATTTGGAATTTACAATACAGAGAATTGTATATCTGATTATGCTTTTAAATTTGGTAGCATGTGTCCTTTCTATCAGGAACATTTAGATAATCGTATGTGTGTACATTTCTTTCTTTAAAGCTGGTGGTTAAGAATTTTTCAGCAAGTATAGAATGGGGTGCAGCTTTCAGAGTGCTGGAAGGGCAGAAGCAGCTGGGAGGTGGGGTATTCTACCCTCTGGAATCACCATCACCCCCACTATCTAGACAGGAATGTGTATGTTGAAGGCCTCCCACCCCTCCCCAGTGTGGCTGTGGACCTGGAAATATGTTGGGGGGTTGCTGAGTGCTCAGCTCAGGTTGAATGGGGAGTATGGTGGGAGGAGTTAGCAGGCTAGGACAACTTTATTTTCCAGATCTTACCTGTAAGTGCTTCTATAACATTTAGTAGTTGATTAGTCATTGAACAATCACATACAATCATGCGTTACCTAACAGGGATACATACTGAGTAAAGCATTGTTAGGGGATCTTGTCATCGTGTGGATGTCGCAGAGTTAGTGACACAGATCTAGCTGCTACAGCCACTAGACCCCCAGGCTTGATGGTGCGGGCTCTGGGGACCCCCGCTGTATATGCTGCCGTCCGAAGTGTGGTTGAGAGTCTGCTGTGTGCCTGGGACTGGGTCTACAGACACCATCAGCACTAAGACAGGCCGTTTCCCATCTTTCTGGCCTCACCTCTGGTCTGGAAAGCATAAATCATAAATTAACGGGCCCATACAATTAATTGTTGAAAAACAGGATGAAATTGAGAAGACTGGGAGTGAATTATTGATGACGCCAGGGAAAGCCTGGTCCAGGGGCGGGGGGTGGGGGAACAGCGATGCTGAGAATGCCCCCCAACACATACCAAGGGCACAGCACGTGCAAAGGTCTTGGGACTCGACTGCGCCTGGTGAGTTGCAGGGACAGCGAGGAGTGGGTGAGGCTGCAGCTGAGTGAGCCAGAGGGGGAGTTGTGTGCAATGGGGGAGAGCTTGGGGACTGAAGGGATGGAGAAAAGCAAGGCACTGGGGACCAGCCCCCTCCCCGCCACGAGCCCTTCTCCTCCCAAGGCCCATAGTCCGACCTCCTCGCTTTGGCGCTGCAGGTAAAAGATGCTTTTGTGTCTGGAGCAGCCGGAGGCTTGAAGTCAGCCTCTGCAGCCAGTCTGCAGGGCGTTTGGGAGCTGGGGTGTCTACATGGGGACAGGGATGAAGTTTGGGGTCCAAAAGACAAAGGGGTTGGCAGGGTGAAAGTCAAAGCTGTGGACTGGGGTTCTGTGGCGCAGGGCCCGAGCTACAGCTACAGGGACTCGGTGCCTGCACACCCATTTCATGGATGTGAGAGCTGCCCCCAGGAGCAAGGTCTGCGGTTTCAGTGGAGAGGCCTCACAGCTGTGGGACGACCTGGACCGCAGTCTATGCAGGGGCTGTGGATGGGCCTGCGGCCTCACTGTTGTCCCAGCGTGGCTGGCTCAGCCCTGCCCCAGACCTCAGTGCCAGCCAGTCCCTCTGCCTGGCCTACCCTTCCCTCAGGTCTTGTCCTTTCTGTCCCAGCTCCAGGGGCTCCACCTGGAGCTTGACCGCCCTGGCCAAGGTCATGTCCTCCTGCCTGTCCCTGGCTGTCACTGCCCCTCCCACCCCCCTTGGCGCCGGTGCTTGTCTGTCCCTGAAATTCCTGTTTATGTCTTTGTTCGCTGCGCTCTGGATCCCGCTCCTTCCATCTGGGGCAGTAATGCCTCTTAGGGGGCCATTTTGGAAATTTAGACGGATTATTTTTGTTTGTGATAATAGCAAGATGTTCTGGCTTTTAGGCATGGGACAGAGACCAGGGACACCAGGCGTCCAGCCACACCAGGGAGTCCCTTGGCCCCCAAGGCTTCCTAATGTGCCCCCAGAAATAAACCCACGACTGGAGCTTTTGCACAGTTTAATATTCAGGGAATATTCCTGAGATGCAACTCCTAGGTGAGTGGAGGGGAGACGGCGCTGCATGGTGATGAAGGCCCGTGGCGGGCGAACCTTTGATAGATTTGCTCCACCTTCAAGTTCAGTTGGCTTGAGCTTTTAAGAAATGACATTCTTTTAAATCAAGCATGTACAGTCATGTGTCACTTGGGTATGTTTGGGCCAATGCCAGACCACATGGACGGCGCTGGTTCCTCCAGGCTGGGCCACATAGCCCAGGGGTGCGGTCTCCGACACGCTGTGCTGTTCCCACCAACGATGCGGTTCTCCCAACATGCCCCGTTGCTAAGAGCACATGATTGCATTGAGCACCTACTATGTGTTCATCGACATGGAAGGGATTTACAAACCTTGACTTGTACACTCCTTTCATTTCTGTTTGTGTTACAGGGTGGGCCAAATTCTGACTTAATTTAATTTAAAAAAGTAAATTTTTTTTTTTTTATAGAGGCATGTTTTCTTTCTTTCTTTCTTTCTTTGTTTTGTTTATACATGCACTGGGTACAGTCAGAAGCGCAGGAGGGTGAGAGAATTCACCAGAGCCAGAGCGGGGAGCAGAACAGGCAGAAGGACCGAAGTACACTGCTGAGGGGAGCAGCGGGCGGCAGGAGAGGTCTGCGCGCCATGTGGGACCCTCCTCCGGTGGCCGGGAAGCAGCCAGGGATCGAACCGGCGGCGCAGAGGCCGCGCGCAGCTTCGCAACCCAGCGCTCAACCGCTGCGCCACCGGGGAGGCCCAAAAAAGTAAATATTTTAAAAAATGAGACATAAATGTATGTCAGTGTTCAGCTAGATGAGATCTGTCACATGCCATAAAATTTATCGTTTTCAAGTGTTCACATTTCAGAGCATTCCATCACTCCAAAAAGAAGCCCTGTCCCCGGGCCTCCCTGGTGGCGCAGGTGGTTGAGCACCGCACTGTGAAGCGGTTCGCAGCCTCTGCAGCGTGGGTTCGATCCTGGCCGGCCGGCGAGAATCCCACATGGCAAAGCAGACCTCTCCTGCACAATCCAGGACCTGCTCCCCCCAAGATCAGGCCTTTATCACCATCTCTTAGATTTTTTTTCAGACTGTGGAACACTTGATGGATTTGCGTGGCATCCTTGTGCAGGAGACCTGCTCATCTTCTCTATCGTTCCAATTTTAGTCTATGTGCTGCCGAAGTGAGCCCTGAATTTGATTTTCAAACCACTGGGTGGAGGGAGGTGATAGTGTGTGTGTATTCCACTGCAGGGTAGTATGGGCCTCCCAAATTATTTTGTGACAAGAAGGTGGCATGGGACCTAGCGGCTGGGATGCTCAAGAAGTTAGGGATGGGATCGTTTCTGGTCACTGCTGTGTTCCCCGTGCCAGGTACGTGGCTGGTGCTCCATAAATGCTCAGTGAGCTACTGAATGAGTGTTCCAGTCGAACCCCTGAAGCTCTAGTGGACTTTTGATGATGGGGGGTGTTCAAACACTTGATGGGCAGGGACCCGGAACCCTGGACATTCAGCCCTGAGTCCCGAGCCCCTCACCGTCCCTGGGAAAGTCCCGTCTCAGAGGGCTGATGTGGCGTGGCGGCGGCCTGCTGGCTTGCCTGCCCTCAGACCTGGGTGAGCAAAGCAGGAAGGAAGGCTGAGGTCTATTTTGGTCCGTGGCCTGCTCCCCAGGGAGAGCAGCCAGATCCCTGTCCAGCTGCTTGGATGGGGGTGTTTCTGGCAGAACAATGGGTCAGGGGGCGGGGGGCTGCAGCTGGGCTGTCCTGAGGGGCCAGGAGTGTGGAGGCAGGGAACTGGGGGTGGGAGGGCAAGCTGCCCTCTGCCCCCGCCCCTTTCCCCTCTGCCCTGGAGCTGCTCAGGGGGTGCCTAGGCCCTACCTGAAGCCAGTAAATAGACCCAGCTCCCTTCTGGAATCTCAGGACTTAGAGATGGGCAAGTCAAGGCCCAGAGGAGGGCAGCGCCCTCTCCGTGCCCAAGGTTACACAGCAGCCAAGACAGGCAGAGAGATCTGGGTTCCAGGACCCTGGTGGTCCAGGTGCCTCGTCCCTGGACTCACGGATAGACCTTCCCTCTCTGAGTCTCTGTTTATCTGTTAACTGGGGAGACTAGGCCCGGGGTGGCAGTGGGAATTCCCTCTTTTTTTCCTGATGTTTGTATACATCCTGTCCCTCATGCATTCAAAAAACATTTCCCAAGGGCCTGTTGAGTAGCAGGCCCTGAGCTGGCTACCAGAGACACAGAGTGAACAAGGGAGCTGAGGGTTTCAGTCTGGGAAGGCTTCCAGGAGAAAGTGACAGTGACACAAAGACTTGAAGGATGAGCAGGGGTTTGCTGGATAAGAAATGGGGTATTCTAGAAAATGTGTTCTGTTTTCTGGGGAATTCCAGAGCAGTAGGTCTACACATTCAGGGACCATGCATGGTGCAGCACTTGAATGGCAGCCTTCTCGACAGCGGTATCCAGCCTTTGCGGAGGAAGCTCACATCTTGGGAAGCACAGGGCTCACCCACGTGATTCTGCTCAGGGTGGCATTAATTCTGATCTTCCCCATTTTACAGATGGGGAGATTGAAGCATGAGGCAGTTGGCTATATTGCTTGTCAAAAGGGTTAAAGCCTGGAGCACGCATAAAAAATGGGGCAGGTTTTGTCATGGAGGATAGCTCCTGGCCTTCTAAGACTCAGGGAGGGCCTCAGCTGGGAAAGGTGGAGGAAGTTAGGGATAAAAAGGAAGTAGGGGCCAGTAGTCACTGCATTGCCGTGTGGCCTCTCTGAGCCTTTGTGTTTCGTTCTGTAAAACAGGCAACCAGCTCAATGCCTGGAAATGACAAACAGGCCCACTGGTGGCTTAGGGGTTGCCACATGGTGCTGAGTCATTGACACACCCCTGTTCTGGCCCACACCTGCATAACCCTGGGGTCTGGTGGTTGCTACGGGGGCAGGGAATACTAGCCCAGTAATCCCCGTGCCTGTCCTGACCTCTGAGGACCAGCAAGAGGGAGGCTGAGGGTTGGGATTTCTCTTGGGGTCTGAGCTCACACAAAGACCAGCTTTGTGGGGGGCCCCAGGGGTGAGCAGGCGCCCACATGGCATTCCTGGCCTGGCAGCCTGGGCGGGGTGCATTCTGACCAGGGCCTGGGGCAACGGGGGCGTGCTAGGGGTGGATCTCAGGGCTCCCCTTATTCATTCAGTAGATGTTTCTGGTTTCCAAGGACACAGCAGATAAGGAATGATTCCCACTTCCTCGCTGTGGCCTGGGGTGAGGCAGGCCGATGGGGAAATGAAGTGAGGGGGTAATGCCTGGGTGCTGTGGGGTCCAGAGGTACCACTGTCTCACTGTCAGTTCGGCTGTTCAGGGATGGCTTCCCAGAAGAGGCGGACTCCAGACTAGGTTGAAGGATGAATCCGGCAGGGGAAGAGGCAGGGCCTTAGAAGAGGATCTATTAGATTCCACCAAGAAAGAGGCAGGAACTTGGGGGCTTTGGAAGATGTATAGGAGACCCCCAGGGAAGATGCAGGGGCACCAATGAAGTGTGGGGCCTGCTCCTTGGAATGATGGGGAGCTGCCAGCTGGTTCTCAAATGGGAAGCGTTATGCCCAGATGTACAATTTAGGGAGAATCCTGGCACTGTGGGATGCAGGTGGTGGGAGTAGGAGGCTCCAGGCTCCAGAGCCTGGGAAATCTGGAAGACTGATGTGCAGGAAAGACAAAGGGAGACAGACGTGAGGGATAGACAGGACTTCTGCAGTCAGAGGCTGCTCACTGTTCCCGAGAGGCGGCCGGCCATCCCTCCTGGGCGGGAGCCGTCCAGTGTCTCTGTGCTGGGAGTCACTGCTGCAAAGCATTTCCACAAACCTCCCAAATGGCCTCCCGGGAAACCTTGTCAGGCCGCTGCCCACCTGACTCGTTCCTCAAGGATGCCTGCTGTGACTCGGGAGCAGTGGGGCTGGAGGACTGGGAACAGTGACCCGGCTCCTCCTCCCCCTGCAACAATCCAGGCCTTGGGTCTGGGATCCTGTCTCACCAGACCGCAGGACGGGGGCGGGGAACAAGCTGGAACCTCTCTGCAAACGCCCCTTAAGCCCCTTCCATACTCACAGCAAGAGTATGACAGCTTTGGGGGTTGCTATCAGGGCTCACAGGTAGTGGGGTTCCCCTGTTCAGATTTCACCAAACCTGGTAAAAAATGTTCATCTGAGACTGCATCCCAACCTCCATATATTCAATCTTCATCACCATGGAAATGGTGACATAAAGTGAAAGGGGGGAATTGTTAGGGGGAAAGGCTGTCCTAAAGCTGATTCCATACAGGCTTTGTGGACTCCACCCCCACCCCAGGCCAAAGCCAAAGACACTGGGAACTCCACATCCCATCCCCACCCAAGGGAAGGTGGCTGGGACCTGAGGGTGGGGTTAAGCAGCCAGGTTGGTATAAAGCCAGACACGTGGGCTTTGGAGGGGTCCCCCATTTTGGCTCTCCGCCAGCTCGCAGCATCGGGCCAGCTCTGAGAGTGACTTTGGGTTTCCAGGTCGTCGGATCGGGTAGGACGCATTAAAGACTTTATTTCCCTATTTTCTCCCTGAGTTGTACATTTTCCTGATTTCCTTTTCCCTTGTAAATAAACCTTTTATGAACCTTTTGTGTGTGTCTGCAGTGGAGTATTCATAAGTCCCTTTAAAGCGCGCGGGTGAGGACCCACAGCCAGGAACCCATTCAGTATCGGAGCTGCCCTATAACACTTTGACCCTCTTTTCTGTCTTTCTTTCTTTCTTTCTTTTTAAGAAACGGTTTCTTCTCAGTCCCTGAGGGTCCGCTGGGGACTAGCTTGAGCGTGAAGGCCGTTTTCCTGTGTGCGCTGTCCTCCAGCTGCTCAGAACTTCCCTCCCCTTGCTGGCAGATCTTTCACCCTGGGATGTGCCCGACTATTTTCCCATCTGTCCTTCCCGCCAGGCCTGCCCAGGCCCCCGTGATCCACTGGGGTGCCTGTGCTCTGGGCACTTCTAGCTTCCCTGCTCCGCAGCACTTGCCACACATCCCTGGCTCAGTTGCCAGCTGCCCTGGCCTTCACAAGCTGCACCCAGCCCCGCCCCACACCCGGTGCTCTCCAGGCTTGGGCCCCGTGGCTCCTCGGAGACATGCTGTTGGTGTGTACTCACTTCACAGATTGTGAAGACAGTGGGCCCGCCCAGCTACCCCTCAGAGCCCTGGGCCTTGGGCCGTGGGCACCACTGATGGGTCTCTTTTCTCTGGCAGGGCCAATGGACACCTTCAGCACCAAGAATCTGGCCCTGCAGGCCCAGAAGAAGCTGCTGAGCAAGATGGCGTCGAAGGCCATGGTGGCCGTGTTCATCGACGACACGAGCAGCGAGGTCCTGGATGAGCTGTACCGCGCCACCAAGGAGTTCACCCGGAGCCGCAAAGAGGCCCAGAAGGTGGTCAAGAACCTGGTCAAGGTGGCCATGAAGCTGGGCGTGCTGCTGCGCGGGGGCCAGCTGGGCGGCGAGGAGCTGGCGCTGCTGCAGCGCTTCCGCCAGCAGGCCCGCCGCCTGGCCATGACGGCCGTCAGCTTCCACCAGGTGGAGTTCACCTTCGACCGGCGCGTGCTGGCTGCCGGCCTGCATGAGTGCCGGGACCTGCTCCACCAGGCCGTGGGCCCACACCTGACCACCAAGTCCCACGGCCGCATCAACCACGTCTTCGGCCACTTCGCAGACTGTGACTTCCTGGCGGCGCTCTACGGGCCCGCCGAGCCCTACCGCTCCCACCTGCGCAGGATCTGCGAGGGCCTCACCAAGATGCTGGACGAGGGCAGCCTTTGACCTCTGTCCATGGTCTTCCTGCCAGGGGTCGGGACCTGTGGGTTTTTCCACCTCTTTTCTCTCAGTCCCATTGAGGCTGAAATCTCCCCCAGAAAGGTAACCTCTCCCCTTTCGGAGGATGCTAAACCTTTTGAAGCGGTTTTAAGGATCCGTGTCACCTCTCCACGCTCAGCAGGGAGACGAGCACAGCCAGCAGCTTCCACACACCTCAAAGTCACTGCCAGCGCCCACCTACCGCCTGTGCTTCCTCAACTGCCGTAACCCTTGGGAGGCCCGTCTGCACCCTCAAAGCACCTGCTGTCATCCCATGACTGGCACTTCCCACTTAGTATTATGTTGCCTGGGCTTTTTCATTCCTACAGACAGCATCATGTGAACTAGAAGGGTGTTATGGGGTGAACTATGTTCCCCCAAATGTCTTTGAAGTCCTCACTAGCAACCCCCCAGGACCTGTGAATGTGACTGTGGGAATAGGGTGTCACGGCAGATGGACAGTTGAATAAGGCAGGGGCAGGGGCACGGACCTCTTTGCAGTCCAAATCCATGTTTAACTTTTTGACTCCCCCAAGACTTTACAGATATCCCTTGGTATCCATCAGGGATTGGTTTTAGGATCCCAACTAAAGGCCAAGGTTGGTGAATTTGTGAATGCAGAATCCAAGGATTAAAAAAAAATCTGTGGAGAAGCAGATCTGTACAGTTCAAACCCATGTTGTTCAAGGGTTGATTGTAATTAGTCAAGCACCAATTAACCATATTCTGATTGTGGGACCACATACACCATGGGGGTTCCAATAGGCTGTACCATGTAGACTGGGTGTGGAGGGGCTTGTGTCATTACACTCTGTGATGTACGCACAACAATGATCACCTAATGACGCATCTCTCAGAACATACCTGTTGTTAAACCAGCCATGAATGTATTTGTAATTGTCAAAAGGGGACATTGGTTTTAAAAGGTTGCAAAACACTGCTGTGGGTCTGGCCACTGTCAGGGTTGGGAAGGTTATTCTGGATGCCCTAGAGGAGGAGAAAATGATGTCCCGTGACTGGTTTTTGTTTTTGGGAAAAAAAGAATGTTTGCAGAACCAGGCCTGTTTAGGGCAAAGGTTGCACACAGGAGGCCCGTTGGCCATATTAGGGAAGATGGGATTGCTTGGCCCCATCTAGTGTTTGAGACATTTGGAATTATTTGCCAACATTAAAAAATGAAGAACTTGCACACCATTCGCTCCTTGGAGTGTCTCTCAAAACACACCTGAGCCTTGATGCCTGCTGTGAAGCTGCATAGCAGTTGCCCCCCTGCTTTGCTACAGTCCCCACCATGCCCTTTTGCATATCCCTGTACGGCTATATTGGCTGATGGGAGATTACATCCTCAAGTGCAGGGCCGGTCTCCTGTGGCGTGACTTCTGGTTCCCTGAAAAAGCCAAAGGCTTTCACCCGAAAGCCAGCTGCTACCTCTGCCCATCTTTCTACAGGCAAACATCCCCTTATCTTTAGTCAAGAGACAGAGCTTCAAATTCAGGAGCAAATGTGCGTTTTGATTACAGCAACAAGCCCCAGATGAAATCCTTTGCCCTTGCCTCTGCTGACTGAATAGGTCAATGTGCAGAGCAGTTTGTGCTTGTTCCCTGCTGGGCTGTCCAGCCTGTCTTGATCTTTTCATAAATTTGAAATTTAATTTAAAACAACCAAAGAGCACTACAGAACTATTTAAATAAAAGTGCACATCTTCCATTTGCATTATATGGAAACGGCCATCGAATTGCCTGGCGCTGTCTGACAGTTTTCTCTCGCCCTCCTGGGGTTTTTGCTTTTTAAATCAAGGATGCATGTAAATGTCATATACCCGTGGCCCTTGGTGACAGGTTCAATTTCTGCGCCACCAGGCACCAGGGTGCCAGATGAGTGCGGTCGCGGAGCGGGCCTCTGCATGCCCCCAACAGGCTTTGGTTCAGCTCCTCCTCCCAACCAACGAGCCCCAGGGCCAGGTGGCTTTGTTCTTGCGCTGAACAAAGTTACATAAAGATGTGCATGCATGTCAGTCACATGGGGCAGGGGGCTCCTCTGTGCCCAGAGGCCCTGGCATGTCCTGTGCACTGCCCCCACCACTGCACCCTTCATGGCTGGAGGCTGACTGCCTAAGAATCTCCTCCCTGGGGCCCAGGGTGCAAGGCTGTCTTTGAGTGTCCCACGGCCTCATTCTTGCAAGGAGACCTCTTCTGCAAAGATGCACGCTGGCAGGTAGCAGCTCCAGCTGGCACGAGGCAGGGCACGGAGTGAAGGGCATGGAACGGCCTCTGTGGCTCCAGCATGGTGATTCCGATTAGCAGGCACTCCACACCTCAGGGCTCTGAAGCTGGGAGCCCGGGTGTTTCCCCTTGTCTGCTGGCGAGAAGACAGGTTGGAGGGCCGCCTGAAGGTCAAATCAGATTCCCAGGCCCCTGTAACTAGGAGACCATGGTCCTTCTGAGTGGCTGAGACATTTGGAGATTTTATTTATTTTGGTTTGCCTGTGGGTTTTCTTGTTTTTAAGTCACTGCAGAATCCAGCTTCAGAAATAAGCAAAAGCAAGCACCTGGATGCAGAAGAACAGTGTGCCCTGGAGCACGCGCCCCATCTATGGGGGTTGTGGAGGACCTGCTGGGAGTGGACGGTTCCGTCCCCACGGCTCAGGGACACACAGAGCCCACTTTCCAGGGGCGGTTCGTGGCAGTCATGCCTGAAGCTCCCACCTGCCCAGGGCAACAGCTCCCCCGCTTCCAACAGAGAAGGGAAGTATGGGTGGCCGGCTCCCACCCCGCCCCGCTGCGGCTATCCCTGGGCCCCCGGCTCAGCCAGGCAGGCGCCAGACACCAAGACTGTGGGTTGTTTTTTAATGTCTTATTTATTTAAATATAAAAGAACATTTCATTTCTTCTCAGTCAATCTGAAAGGAGGTCCCTTGGGTAAGCTGTGAGAAAACAGTCAGCGTGGGGTCGGAGGTCTGTAGGAGTCCTCTCCCTGGGAGCATCCAGGAGCCAGGCTTGATCCCATGGGGGAGACACAAGCCAGCTTAAGAGAAGTTGAGTGCCCCCACAGCCCACCATGTGCCCAATCCACATTGTTCAGAGGAGCAGGGTAGGGGCAGGCCATGAGAGGGGCTCAGCACATCCTTGGCCTCCAGGCCCAGTGGACTCTGCTACAAGGCCTTCGCTGCTTCGAACCCCTACGATCAGGGCGACATCAGTCAAGGCATAACTGATGTTAGAAAACCAGCACTACACCAATCCTCTCAGGTCCTGGCTCCTTCAGCAAAAATGAGGTGATGCCACCCTGATCGGGGCTCCTGGTCACAGCTCACTGTGCGCTGCCTTGGCCACGATCACCAGCTTGGATAGCTCAGCCTTGAATGCCCCGGGCCTGTGGCCCACTGCAAAAGAAACACATGGCCAGACCTTCAACACCCCACAAATGTCCCCAAATGGACTCCCCGTGGAAAGCTCCCTGGCCCTGTAAGAGTTACAGGTAAGGCACAGAAGACGGGTGGAGAGTGGGTGGCCTGTCCTGAGGGCAGAAGCCAGAGGGAAGTTCGAGGTGGTCAATTTTGCCACAATGAGAATGGACGGGGACTGTCACCTGCCCCTCACACGTGCAAAGGTTTTGGCAGGAGCAGGGAACCAGGCCCACCCCCACCCAGCCCTCAGCAGGCCTTCAGCTCCCTGCCCACCTCCCCTTCTACCGTGAGCCCCAGGGTTGTGTCCAACAACCCCCACGCCTCTGTCCTTGATCACTCCTCTGAAGTAACCCCGGCCCCGAGGACCTTCAGACAAGGCTCCTTCCACACCCAGGACTGTCTCCCTGGAGGCCCCTCCTCGTGCTGCCCCTCCCCTCCACTTTCCCGGCCAGTGCCGCCCGCAGCCACGTGGGTTCCTTCCTCCGACTTTTCTCTGTCCCAGGACCCTCAGGGCTTCCACCCACTCAGCTTCACTCCACGCTTCACATCTATTGTCACAGTTACGCATGCGCCGCCCCTTGTTCTCACACGCTGAGCCTTCACTCTGGGGATCTCGTACCCCTTCTGTTCAGCCTCTGCCCAGAGGCTGGCTTGGCTCAGAGGACATTGGTGGGGCTCTCAGGACCTCAGGAGGGAACCCCCAATCTCGTGGCACACCCCTGGAAACACTATGCTGACACTTTCTACTTTAAAGTATCGGAGCTGTTCCTGGTCGCAGAGCCAGGCCGCCCCTCCCCGCCTCGGGGAAACGCTTGCTAACCACTGACATGGTTCATGACTGATTTGCCTTCCAGGGGCTGGCTGAGTCATGTCAACGGAGACCATGTGCCCCACAAAGCTGAAAAGGCCCTTTGCAGGACCAGCTTACAGACGTGGAGCTAGAACATGGGGGCTGAGGGCGGGTGCCAGGGTGCCCCTGTCGGTGTGCCGCACCACCTCCCTCCCTGGCAACTGGCTCCCACCTCTACAATCCCTCTTTACTTACCTGCTGTTTTGGTCACTTCGAATTCCTCACTTTTCAGGGGCACATCACTCTCTCTCTCAAAAGCAGCTTTAGACTGAAAGGGATCAAATGGAAACTTTGTAAGTGGGAAAGAACGCAGGCCCTTTGCCCAGCCAAGGGATGTGGGGCCTTCCCTCTGTCCCTCCGGGCCCACTTCTGCCCTCGCTGACCCTGCTCCTGTCCTGGGAGAGCCGCCATGCCCCCGACTTCCTGCTGACTTTGCCAGTGGGGGACACCAGCAGGAGCCTGGTGGTGGGAGAGAGGAAGGCCAGGGGCACACTTCCTGCTCTGCCCGCTGGGTCTCCAGGGTCAACTGGGTCCTAATCTGGGCCACTAGGTCTGCCCAGTGCACCCTGTGAAACAGACTTGAGAGGCTTGGAGTCTGCCTCTCCTCATCTTGCCTGCTTCCCCCCAGCCTGTGGTCTGAAACATATAGTTCACAGCAGGCTGCCCTGGGCAGCAGCCCCAACATGCAGTGATACTCACGTAAGCCATGCCATACTCGATCTCGGCACCCTGCACCTCCGCCTTGAACTGTGTGAAGTAGAGGTAGGACTTGCCCTGGGGCCTGCAAAGGAAGGCAGTGTGTGTGGGGGGGTGGGGGGGTGGGGGGGGGGTAGACAGCCCCGGGCTGCTGTGCCCTCTCCTTCTCAAGAGGGAAACTGCTTTGAGGCATTGCCTGTGGGAAGGATGGACGGGGCCCCTTCAACATCATTCCTTCTTTCCTCTTTGCTGGAAGGTTCTTTCAGCTCACATAATGAGTTTCTTTGTCCATCTAGGTGTGAGCTATTCTATGACAGGGAATCACAAGTTCATTCACTGAAAGCTTTTTAACCGAGCGTGCAGGTACTTCAGTGGGGGCCAAGCCAGGCAACATCCAGGAGCGTGAAGTACAGGAGTTAACTAGAAAGGAGGGGGGTGGCTGCCCTGGGCAGATGGAATGGCATCTACAAAGGTCCTGCGGGGGGTGCAAATGGGGGCATTTGAGGAACTTACTCAGCATGGCCTGTGCAGAAACAGGAGCTAAGAGGATGGGAATGGGAGCAGAAGTAACTGGAAGGTGGCAAGCAGGGAGACAATGATGTCTGCAGTGTGAACTCCTCGTACTCACATGTGGTGGGCAGATGGGTGGGGACAGAGAGGCAGCAGGGAGGACACCACTGAGGCGGCAGTGGGAAGAGGGGGCCATGGGCTGAAAGTCATTTCTGTGCGAGCCCCAGCAGAGGGTGCATACAAGTGGGTAGGGGGAGGAGATCATACAGGCATACCTTGGTTTACTGCACTTCTCAGGCACTGCCTTTTTTTTTTTTTTTTAAGATTTATTTATTTATTTATACAAGCACTGGGTACAGTCAGAAGCGCGGGAGGGTGAGAGAATTCACCAGAGCCAGAGCGGGGAGCAGAGCAGGCAGAAGGACCAAAGTACACTGCTGAGGGGAGCAGCGGGCGGCAGGAGAGGTCTGCGAGCCATGTGGGACCCTCGCCCAGCGGCCGGGGATCGAACCAGCGCTGCAGAGGCTGTGGGCAGCTTCACAACCCAGCGTTCAACCGCTGCACCACCAGGGGAGGCCCAGGCACTGCCTTTTTTACAAGACATTCCACCAGCAAAAAGATCAGACTCACTCAAGGTTTAGATGCTGGTTAGTATTTTTTAGTAATGAGGTAGTTTTAATTAAGGTATGAGTGTTGTGCCTTCAGAACTAATGTTACTGCACACGTAGCAGACTACAGTATAGTTAAACATAACTTTTACATGCACTAAGAAGCCAAAAAACTTTGTGTGACTCACTTTATTGCAATGGTCACTTTATTCAAGTGGCCTAAGGTCGACCCTGGGACATCCCTGAATTGTGACTGTGCAAGGCTGGTGGTTGCCCCAGGCCTGGTGAGTGGAGGGTCAGCCAGTGCTTGAAATCTGGAGGCCTGGCCCACTTAGGCTCAGCCCCTCAGTGGAGTGTGGCAGCAGGCGTGGGGTTCAGCATGTCCCAGGGCCTGGGTAGCGAGGGATTATGCCCCTCCATACACTATGGAACACCGAACCCCATGCCAGGCAGTGACCAGACAGAAAGAGGCACGCAGAAGGCGGGACCTCCCTGCAAATCACAAAGGCCCAGCTCCTTGCCTCTGGGGCCTCTGCTGGGGGGCACAGAGCAGGTAAGAATCGCCCTCCAAACTGTAGTAAACACCTGCTACCTGTTAAGCACTGAGCAGCAAACTGTGGGACAACGCCTACAGGTGTGATTAAAACACATCTTGTCCTTTAATTAAATGCCACCATCAGGGTGCTCTAGTGGTGTTTCATTTGTTGACCGGCCCCCCTATGTTGATCCTGGTCCCCTGAAGGGGGAACACAGCTTGGATGACTCCTGTGTACCCCCAAAGTGTCCACACTATTCCAGGCATATAATAAATGCTCCAGAAGTAGGTTCTTCTTGGTGCACTGCATTCCAGGCCATAGAGCTCCAGGGGGAAAGGCCAGGATTCCCTGCGGCTCTGACACCCACCGGTGGCGGACCCTCTCTTTCCTCTATCCCCGCCCCGCCTGCCACTCGGTCATCAAGCTGGGCGCCAGGCAGAAGGGATAAGAATGGAAAAGACAAACATTCCATGGTTGCAGATGAAGCCCTCAACAAGGAACATGACTGAGGGTGACAACGAGGGCAGGGTAGCAAGTCGGGAGCCCAGTCCCTTATCCTGGGGCTGCAGCCACATTGAGTCCCTTCCCTCCGTGAACACTTTGAGCACTTATTTACTTGAGCTACTCACACTGCCTGGAACATACTTTCCCAATATCCCCACCTCTGTCAACCTCAGTACATGGACATCCTTGAGGAGCCCTCCCCATCCCACCAACTTCCAGCAGTGTGGAAGAACCCCTCTTGCTTCCACGGTGTCACGTCACCTCCACTGGCCTGTGTGCCCCTCCAGAGGTGCAGAACCCTCATGGTCTGGCTTCCCCTGTCTTCACTGTTGCCTGAAACAATGCTGGGCTTCACCCCAGGCATGTGCCCACAGTAGCCGTCAGCAAAGAGGCCTCTTCTGAAAAAAGATTGCAACTCAGGACCCTGGGCTTACCTCCAGATAGTACAGGTGAAGTGCTGGTGGTCTTCGCTGGTCCCCAGACTCATCTGCCACCTCTGGGAAGAGAGGAAAAGACACAGCCAGTCAGGGACACGGGCTCTTCGAGCATGGGCTAGTTCTGAACTGCCAGCTGTGCAAAGTGGGTGATGCTTTCTGGGGCCTCCAGGTTGGACCCGATGCCAGATCCCTGCTTTGCTCACACACATCACATTTGTCCAACCCACGGTATGTGCAATACCAAGAGTGAAACCTAACCTCAACCTGGGCTTGGGGTGATGACATGTCCATGTAGGTCCACTGATTGTAACAAATGTCCCACTGTGGTGGAAGATGTCCATAGTGGGCTGTCCTGCCCATGTGAGGGGCAGGAGAGCAAGGGGGGTATATCAAAATCTCTGTGCCTTCTGCTTCATTTTGCTATGAGCCTAAAATGCCCAAAAAATAAAGTCTATTAAGAAAAATTTAAAAAAAAGGGCAGATGCTCTATTCATGCCTGTTGGTATAAGCACAAAAAAGGCACAGGTACAAGATTTTAATAATTGTGGTCACATGTAGGATGTGGGTAGGAACTGGATAAGGAGGCAGCGCCATAATCTTTTTATGTTTTTCTTTCTGAACAATGTGAATGCTTAAAAAAAAAAAAAAAAATGAAAACCTCAGAAACATGAATGAAAAAAAATAAGATTTTTAAAATGGTGCCAAACACACCTCTACCAGTTTATTCTAATTCCATCACCTCTAAAGGCTGGGCCAAAAGGAAATGGAAAGCCTACTGTTCCACTCTGGGTTGCCTAAGGCATTTTTTAGGTTTTGCTAGTAAAATGAGTTTATAGTTCCCACACAAGAGTAATAAAGGTCCCCAGGTTACTGGTATTTCCGGTTTAATGTCAAAACTTTTCATTAATAGAAACAAGGCCGCTTTTATGTTAATTACAATGGGAGCAAATGGTCACTGATGCACTTTGCCTGCAGCACAAATGGAGGAGCCAATTATACTGGCAAGACAAGGGGACAGATACAGGCCATACCTGCTGCCTCAACATAAACACCTGTCTATGATTCCCAGGCCTCTGCGAACTGGAAAACAGTTTTATGCTATGAAATTCATGTACTTGTGGCAGAACTCAGTTCCTTGCAGTTGTCGGGCTGAAGCCCCAATTCCCTTGCTGCCAGCCAGAGGCCACTCTCAGCTTCTCCAGGTCACCCACACCCCTTGCCATGTAGTCCTCTCAAAGCCAGCGACTGATCACTGTGGCCTCTCATGCTCTGGATTTTCTCTTACTCCCTCCTCTGCCACCAGGTGGAGAAAAAGGCCAGCAAGGAAACAGACCTCAGTTGTACGTGGCAAGGAACAGAATTCTGCCAACAACTTTAAAGAGTCTAGAAGAGGCCTCTTCATCAAAGAATACAGAGGGCAGCCTGGCTGACACCTTGCACCTTGCTTTTGGCTTTATGAAGCATCCAGTTGAGCCAAAAGGAACTTCTGACCCCCAGGACTATGAGAAAAGAAATGAGTGTTGTTCTAAGCAACTACGTTTGTGATATTTTGTTATGCAGCACAGAAAACAAACAATACTCTTACGAGAGGCTCATGAAAACAGCAGATTCATACCTCACACCTTCTCTGTCAAGATATTTATTCACTCTGTGGAATCTGCCATCACTATAACTTGAGTCCTCCCTCTCTTACTGGGCTAAGCAAGACACATTTAATGAGTGTAAATTAAAACATGTATCACCCAAGCCCACTGTTCCTGGAACACTGTATGACAATGGCTACTGTGATAGTAAACCACATGAAATTTTGAACAACTCACCTCATTGGTCCCTCCTTGAGAAGCATAGGTAAACGTACAAGTGTATTTGTCCTGGAGAACGGAAGGGAGAAAACAAGTCTTGATAAGGAGGCAATGCTTAACGCTTAACGTGCAGGATCTCAGGACATCCTTCGGAAATCCAGATCAAGATCCCATTTTCAGCATGTGCACTAAAGGGAAGGAAGTGGCACCCGACCCCTGTGGCCAGTGTCACTGGGCTGGCCTCCCAGAGGCTGCAGACTTAGAACTCCCCTGCTTGCCCCCTACTACTGAGCTCCTGGGTCAGGACAAACAACCCATGTGGCTTCTGGGGGATGAGTAGGACAGGGGAGGTCACACCCTTTCTGGTCCTTCAGGAACACAGACTTTAAAAGCTCCCACATGTCCATATCTGCTCTGCTGTGGTCTGAACAAGCGCAAAATTTTCTATGCCTGTTTCTTTATCAGTGAAAAATGGGCCTAACATATAAAACATTTGGCACATAAGGAATTATTAAACAAACAAATAAGTGACTACAGATAACTTCCTAACAGACTGGAAAAGGTGGTAGAGAACACGATTTCTCCAACAAGCTGGGGACAGGGTTGGTACCTCCAGGTAAGGAGGGCCTGGGTTTACACCTCTATGAAAACATGGGGGATCTTGGGCCTCCCCGGTGGCGCAGAGGGTTGAGTGCAGCACTGTGAAGCTGTCCGCAGCCTGTGCAGCGCAGGTTCGATTCCTGGCCGGCCAGGCAGATACCCACATGGCGTGGCAGACCTCTCCTGTCTCTCCTGCTGCTCCCCTCAGCAGTGCATTTCGGTCCATCTGCCTGTTCTGCTCCCGGCTCTGTCTCTGGTGAATCCTCTCACCCTCCCGCGCCTCTGGCCTGTACCCCAGCTCTTGTATAAAAACAAATACATCTTTTAAAAAAAGGGGGGGGTAGGAATCTTGTGGAATGGAGAGAGAAACAACTTCTTCCCACCCTAGTTAGATCTCTAAGGACCTGGAGTCTTCAGCCTCCTGCACCTCTCCCTTCACTTCCGGGGCCGCCCTGCTCTCCAATGCCGGAACCCTCCCGGGTCTGGAGGACGGGGCTGCTTGGGCTCTTTGAGATGTGAAGAGTAACAGGATTTGAGGCCAGTCACCAGCCCTCAGGAGGCCCCACCTCCTTCGAGTTCAGACGGGTCTCTCTGATGACTCCGCCCATAGGGCGCCGAGCCGCAGCCACCTCCTCAAGCCCTGGCCCTGACAGCCCTCGCTGGCTCCTCCGGCCGCGCCACTGATGCTCTGTACCCCTCCTCGGGCCACGTCCCCTCCGGCCTTAAAGCTGAAGCCACCGAGGCGGCGGCGGCACGTACCCCGGGGCCCACGTTCTGGGAGAAGGAGTGCACGACGCCGCCGGGCCGCACGTCAAACGCCACCGTCATGGGCTCGGACACCGCCTCCGTGGGCCTCAGCGCCAGGGCTGCCAGGAGAAGCGCGGCCCACAAGCTCGAGACCCCGCCACCGATGCTCCTCCTTTCGCTGGGCGCCGCCATCTTGGGATCGAGTCCCCGGGCGGGGGCGACGGACGGAGCGCAGCGAGGGACACGTGGGCCGGCCGCTGACGGCCACGTCCGCGTAGGCGCGAGCACGTGACCCGGAGCGCCCCGCCCCTCCGCCCTGGGGGCCGCCATCTTGGGGCGGAGCTTGGGTGGCGGGTGGCTCCTGGAGCTGCTTTCCTGCGCTAGGAGGAGGCGTGTCCCTCGCGCTGGCCGTGCGTGTCACTGACCCCACGGCGCTGCTGTTATAGGGCAGCCCCGATATTAAACGGGTTCCTGGCTGTGGGTCCTCACCCGCGCGCTTTAAAGGGACTTATGAATACTCTACTACAGACACACACAAAAGGTTCATAAAAGGTTTATTTACAAGAGAAAAGGAAATAAGGAAAATGGACAACTCAGGGAGAAAATAGGGAAATAAAGTCTTTAATGCGTCCTACCCGATCCGACGACCTGGAAACCCAAAGTCACTCTCAGAGCTGGCCGGACGCTGCGAGCTGGTGGAGAGCCCAAAATGGGGTCCCCCAAAGCCCACGTGTCTGCCTTTTACCTGGCTGCTTAACCCCACCCTCAGGTCCCAGCCACCTTCCCTTTGGTGGTGATGGGATTTGGAGTTCCCAGTGTCTTTGGCTTTGACCTGGGGTGGGGGTGGAGTGCACAAAGCCTATATGGAAATAGATTTGGGACATCCTTTTCCCCCTAACACTTCCAATGAGAAGGATGAGGACAAGCTCTGCACTAAAATTCAAATTAGTAAATGCAGATGGAATGAGGGAAGACCCCACTGAGCAAACTTGTAGCAGTTGTAGTCAAGATGGGTAGATGAAGCTGAACGCTAGCAGAGTAGGCAGGTGCTGGGATGGTTAAAAGTTGGTGGGTGAAGGTGACACAGCAACAAAGTATATGGCTTTCTCTCTCTCCCCGGGTAACTTCCCTCGAGGCTTAATAAACCCTGTATTTTTACATTCCAAGGATAAAGAGCCTCATTGGAAAGATAATATCAGAACTGCTGACCACCAGAGGGTGAGGAGCACAAGCTGGCTGGAGGCAGCTGGAGTACAAGAATGGACATGCCCTTCGTTTCCCAGTTTGTTTCTACTCCCTGTAACAGTGGAGAAATACCCCTGCGCTCTGCCAAAGAGCAGGAAGGTGGGCCTCCAGACATTAGTCTGCTGCCTTCTTCAATTTGTCAAAAAATTAGACTACTTTCCTTCTCAAACTCCTTTTATTGGCCAATGGGTTGGCCAGCATCCCCGTATCAAAGGCATGAGTAGAAATGGTATCTTCAGAGTCTCCAGGTATTTGCTCCCTGAGATCTATGTGAATTACAAAGAGAAAAATAGTAATTGCACAATGGAGTGTCATCTTTGGCCCCATGTACCAACTTAATGTCACCAAAACATGAGGCAGCAGCATCACGGAGTCACCAATGCACTGACACCTCAGTGGCACAGGGGAGGAAACCTGCAGAATTCCTACCCAAAATGCACTGATTTAAATGTAATTGTAAGTAAATTTCAGATAAACTTAAGCATTCTACAAGACAACCTCCAAAAAAATAAGAAATAACATGAAAGACAAAGATTGAGGAACCATCACAAAATGAGACAAAAACAGCCACGTCCTGGACTGAATCCCGGCTCAACTGGGATTGCTGTCACAGAATCCCACACAACAGGAAGCTTGCAACAAGATTTTTATTTCTCTTGGTTCTGGGCATTGGAAACCCAAGATTAATACAACAGCACACTCTATGGTTCACTACCTGGCTCATAGATGGCTGTCCTCTTGCTACAGCTTCACATGCCAGAGGGTGAAGGAGATCTTCAGGGTTTTTAGTATAAGGGCATGAACCCCATTAAGGAGGGCTCCACTCTCAAGACCTAATCCTTAGCAAAAGCTCCACCTTCTAATACCAGCACATTAGGGATTATGCTTCAACATAATGAATCTTGGGGACACTCAAATATTCAGTCCATAACAATCATGGACCAGAAAAAAGACATTAGAGGGAGGAATGGCCAAGCCTAAATAAAGTCTGAAACCATGCAAGCCTGGGGTGGGGGGTGTGAGGGGTGGGGAGAATGGGAAGGTAGGTCATGGTTATGGGTCTTCATCCATGCACTTACAACTGCAAGACACAACTTAACCTCAAGGTTTAACAACAACAGGGTTTATTAACAAAGGGGCAATTGAGGAAAAGGAAAGGGTTTCTAAGGCCACACATGGCCGGCTGTCCTACCCCAGATAGTGTCCGCAGTGTTCAGTACTCCAAATCAAAAGCTGATTGTCCAATCATGCAAAATGGTGGTGTCCTTTCGAGAAGAGCCTGGAGCTGGTGGCGCACTAAGTGGTGGACCAGGATCTAACTCGTGTCGCAACTGGAGGTGATCACAGGTGGTGCTGCTGAAATGGCCCCACAGCAGTCAGCAGCAGCAATTGAAGGCTGGGCTGGGCAGCACCAGAGACACCACCATGAGGAGGCAGTGCTGGAGGATCGCAAGCAGTGGACAGCTCCCAGAAGTGGCTGGACGCAGATCAGCATTGCCAGTCAGCACCAATCAGTAGGCAGCAATGCCAGAGGACCAGGCACCAGTGTTTAAAAGAGCTGTCCAACCTCAGCACAGGTGTGTTTGGATGTGCTGGTGGAATTTCAGCTCTTGAATCTCATCCTGGAATTGCAAACTGATCAATCAGGTTTGAAAGACAGGTATCCTGAGGGGGTTTAAGCTGAGGTTTCAGAGGGGTTTAAAGGGTTTAAGCTGAGGTTTCCCAGGTGTCTCTAAAAGAGCTGTCTGCTGCTGCTTTACGCCTGACACCGGGCATAGGCCAATGATGCCAGTCAGCAGGCAATGTCAGAGGTAGGGCCAGAAGTCTGACATGAAGGTGTTGAAGCTCTGCAAAGTTCTTGAAGTTCTGAGTCCGGAAGAATGTATCTAAACCCTTCTGAAACCTCAGCTTAAACCCCCTCAGATACCTGTCTTTTAAACCTGATTGATCAGTTTGCAATTCCAGGATGGTATTCAAGAGCTGACATTCCACCAGCACATCCAAACACACCTGTGCTGAGGTTGGACAGGTGGTGGACTCCACACCTTATTACAGGCAAGTCTCCACTGCATCTGAATGGTGCCAGCTAAGTTCATATCTGGCTGTTGTGTCTGCCTACAGGCTGTGTGCTGAGCTCTGGGCCCCAGTGCACCGCAGGCCTTGGCTTTAGCTGGGCTGGGGAGGATTTTCACCGAGCTGGAGCCTTGGGCCTCCCCTGACAATATTAGATATTGTCTAATTTTCAGGCAGGTCAGGAGGCTACTCTAGGAGGCTGAGTGCTGGGCAGATAACCCTGACTCCAGGATACATGCTTTTATGCAGCAGCTTGATCTAAATTGGAATACCTGCTTGTGTAAAGAAATATTTCAGGCCTTCCTGGTGGCGCAAGGGGTAAAGCACAGCACTGTGAAGCTACCTGCAGCCTCTGCTGCACAGGTTCGATCCCCAGCCATCCAGGGAGCTGACCCACCTGGCATAGCAGACCTCTCCTGTCTCGCCCGCTATTCCCCACAGCAGTGTATTTCAGTCAGTCTGCCTGTTCTGCTCCTCATTCTGTCTCTGGTGAATCCTCTCACCCCCACACCTCTGGCCTGTACCCCAGGTCTTGTATGCATAAATTAAAAAAATCTTTAAAAAAAAAAGGAGAAATATTTCATTCTTACAACTCCCTGCTGGGGCCTCAATGAAGACTGGCTCCCTAAATAGGAGGACTGCAGTCCCCTCTCCCCGGTGTTTTACATGGCCCGGTTCTGTTGGTGCGTTTCCTATTACCTCACTACAGCATTTGACCTTCAGTCTGTCTCCACGAAAGATTCAATTAATGAGCAAGAGCTGTTGCTACCAAGAGATTGCAGCTGAGAACTGTCTGAGTATCCCGCTGAAGAGGAGGAGGTGTGCATGTTTTCAGAAAGACTTTGAACTCAAACCTCTCCTGGTGTTTTTCTGTCTCCCTACCTCTCCATTCTCCCCCACCAAAATAAAAGTCATGTTGGAGAGATTAAGGGGGGAATTATTCCAACTATTTCTTTCTAATCATGATCTGAACTCTAGCTATCCAAAAGGAGAAAAATGTCGTGGACTTGTCTCTGTGGTGATTAAACAGCTCTGTTGTTGTGATTATGGTAACAAAGTGGAATGGAATTGCACACATGCACACACACAAACACACCCATGTCAAAACTAATGAAATCTGAATAAAGTCTAGAGTTCAGTTAACTCTATCACTGTCAGTTTCCTTGTTTGAACAATGTGCAATGTCCAAAAAAAGATGTACTATTTTTATAACTTCCTATGTGTCTATAATTATTTTTTTAAATACCACAAACATGTTTCAAAGGCAACTGACAAATCTGCAACCGATATAACATTGGGTTTTACATTCAATGCATGTGGCTTCTTGCCAATTAGGGAAGAGATCAGCAGTCAGCACTGCCTAGGAGACCCTCCCGCTGTCGGAACCCTCACCAGTGGCGGGGAACATGAGTCACTCCTATGTCAACCCGGAGGAAACAGACACCTCCTAGCCGGCCACCTCAGAGAGCTCGACTGTCTGCCAGCACACACTTGTCTTTTTGTAGCTGCTCATCATTCATTTTTTCCTGTGGGTACCCCACTTCCCTTTCTGAAACTGTGCACACACACAAAGAAACCCTTAGCTAAACTTTTTTTTTCTTTGAAAGTGGTTTTTCTTTGAAAGACACAGCAAAGGCTGGAAGTCTCTCAACAACCTTGAGTTGGTCTCTAAGGGTGCCTGGAGACGGAGATGCAAGAAAAGGCGGGGGAATCCCCAGAGGAGGGGTGGACCAACAGCAGTTGAAAACTCTGGTTATCTGGAGAAAATCTTCTTCGTTCTTCAGGAATGAAGCGCCCTGTGACTAGCCGTGAACTTCAGCCAAGTCTGCATTTCTTGGCCCCAACCCGCTTTTTCATTTAATAAAATTTAACTCCTTTGTTCTCAACCCTGGCCCCCCAAACCTGTATGATCTCATTTCCTTTCTTAATTGGGGAGGTAGATTTTTTTTTTAAAGATTTATTTTTATTTATACAAGAGCTGGGGTACAGGCCAGAGTTGTGGGAGGGTGAGAGGATTCACCAGAGACAGAGTGGGGAGCAGGACAGGTAGACGGACCGAAAGCACTGCTGAGGGGAGCAGCAGGCAAGACGGGAGAGGTCTGTGCGCCATGTTGGCTTCTCCCTGGCGGCTGGGTATCGAACTGGCGCTCCTGAGGCTGCAGACAGCTTCATAGCGCTGTGCTCAACCTGCAATGCCACTGGGGAGGCCCAATTGGGGAGGTAGATTTGAGTGTTTTCCCGCCCCCACTCATGTCTTGCTTGTTGACTAGCAGTAAGCATTCCTCTGCTTCTAGCGCCAATGTTCTATTACAGTTCATCTTAACCAGGCGTTGGGCACACAAGCCTGATTTTGTACAGGTCAGTAACAGAGGCAGCCCCCGAGGGAGTAATGTGTGGCTGAGACCACCTAAACTGTATATGCAATTGAACCCTTAAATATCTAGATATTTAAGTATCTAGATAGTAGCAGGTCCCTCTTTTTTTTCTCTTTCTCCTTTTACTAATAAACCTGTCCTTTTAAAATGTAAAAAGAAAAAAAAAGGTATCTCTAGAAACTCAAGATTCCAACAGGAGGTTGTGGAAATAAAAGGTTGAGGGGCCTCCCTGGTGGCACAAGGGGTTAAGACGCAGCACTATGAAGCTATCCGCAGCCTCTGCAGCACAAGTTCAATCCCCTGCCAGCCAGGGAGCTACCCACATGGCGCAGCAGACCTCTCCTGTCTCACCTGCTGCTCCCCTCAGCAGTGTACCTCAGTCAGTCTGCCTGTTCTGCTCCCCACTCTGTCTCTGGTGAATCCTCTCACTCCCCGCACTTCTGGCCTGTACCTCAGTTCTTGTATGCATAAATAAATCTTAAAAAAAAAAAAAAAGACAAGGTTGAAAGTTCTCTTATTAAAACTGTAACCTATCAAGCTGGAATGTTTTACTTGTCTTTGCTCTCTTCTTGTCCTGTATACAGAGGCCTGTTTTACACACCATCTAGGGAACTCTGGAGTTTTGAACCAACAACATAATCATGATTACTAGTATACAGGTGTTCTGGAATATAAAAACATTCCTACACATAAAACAAACAAGTTCAAATTACAATGAGATGCTATATTTCACTGTTGACTAAGATTAAAATGTAATGTGTAACACTAGTGAAGAAATGGAGAAATATTCTCCCCTTTGGCAGAAGTGTATATTAAGGTGTTCTTTTTGGAAAGCAATTTGGCAATCTTCTTCAAAATTAGAAATTCTAAGAATTCACCCTTAAGTGATAAAATATGTCTAAAACACATACAAGGCTATTTGTAGCTGTCATTGATAGTAAGGGTTGGCCTGTCAGTCTGTGTAAAGCTGCCTGGTTTTGTAAATAAAGTTTTATTGGCACACAGCCCACATCCACTCATTTACACAATATTTGAGGCTGTTTTTGAACTAGAAGGGCAGAGTTGAGTAGTTACAAGAAGTCTGACCCATAAAACCTAAAATATTTACTACAAAAAAAGAAAAAAGGCTGCTGATCCCTGATTTATACAAGAAGTCTAGAATAATCCATGTATCCCTTGAAAGAGGTCTGGCAAAATAAATCATAGCACATTCACAGGGTAGAATAGTATGCAGGTATTAAGAATAGAGACTTGGGGAGAAGGGTGTCTTTTCTCTATACATTTGATCCTTGCACAACACAGATCCTCTTAAAAATGGATTTTCCCAATGAATACACCTGCCCTCCATATCTGAGGGCTCCACATTCACGGATTTCAACCCCTGGACATGTGGGTTGATGGTAATGGACTTGAGTATCAGTGGATTTTGGTATCCAAGGAGGTCCTGAAACCAATTCCCTGATACTGTCAAGGGACAACTACAGTTAGTAGATTTGGGGGAGTCAAAAGTTGTATGTGAATTTGGGGTTGCAGAGGTTTATTGGAGCCCCTAGGTCCCGTGATATTCAAGGGTTAATTGTATATCCCTTAGTACTTAAATGTTATTTTTTTAAGCCATTAAGATAAAAGTGAATCAGGGAAGTCAGGTAAAGGAGGTAGCGTATACACTACAGTATGTGTAGTATATGCAGATATTGAATTAAAATGCAGTAGCCTGAAACCTCCATGTTCTAAACCAATGCGACTTCAATACAAGCGAAAAATAAAGTGGAGTCCAAAGCATGGAGCAGGGGATGGCGTGAGGTAAGGCAAGGCCACCAGCTGCTGTTTGATGCTCCAGCCACAAGTGGGGCCTAAGGGAGTAGGGGAGCTCCTCGTTGGGGCGATTGGGACCAGCATGAAGACCTACAGAGCCCGCTCTCCCTGATCAGCTTTTCTGATCTGAATCAAGCCTCGGACCATGCACAGGTATAAAAGTAGTGGGGGGCGGCATGGAGCCCCCCACACCAGGGCGTGTGCTGTTGTCCCGTCTGGGCCCCACCAACCCCCTTCTTGTGCTGGGTCCCTAAGCGACAAGCACAGGGGCATCGGGATCTGGGATGGGGCTGTCAAAGAGGAAGCTGGCGCCCCTCCCCCTTTGCTTTGTCTCCGTCACCTTCCTGGCCTCCTGAGGCGCCGTCACCAGCCCGGGCTTAGAAGGAACTTCAGGCAAGGGCCACACTTCCGTCTGGAATCATTTAATGACTCTACTTCTTACACGCATAATTATAAAAGAATAAGAATCGACAAAAATATTTTCTTTCCATAATATGTAGAGGTGGTTCTTTTCTGGTGGGTTGTTTTCTCCCCCCCCGTGCCTGGCAGAAGTCTTGGCAGGGAGGAAAGGAAGGGGAGGGGAGAACAACCCTGAGGGGGTATGGTTCCACTTCCACCCCTAGAACCCCGTTTTGTGTGGGTCAGGCAGAAAGGAGAGCCTGATGGCTGGGCCAGAGAGTGGGCAGCAGCCGCCCACCAGGGAAAAGAAGGGCAGGGGGTTCCCCAGCAGAGATGCCCGACGTTCACAGACTCTAGGGCACGACTCACACCCCCCACAGGACTGGCTGGGTTGAACCCCAATACCAGGCAGCAGACCCTGCTTCTTTTCTTTCAAATAATTATGAAAAACGACCCCCAAAACAAAACACAAATATGAAGTGGGGTGGTGGGGGAGGCAAGGCATGCTTCTGTGCTGGGTGGGGGGCAGCCAGGGCCGAGATGGTGGGGAGCATGAGGTGGAAGTGCCCGGCGCCTTGAGTCTCTTCTGGCCTGGCTGCTCCAGAGTTCCGGAGTCGAGGCCTCCTCCTCCCGGCCAAGGGAGAGGAGCGGGTGGCTTGAGGGAGGGCCTCACGGATATACCAGCCTCATCTCTCCATCCTGGCAACCAAGAAGCAGCAGGCAAAACACCCGGGAGCATTAAGAAAACGATAAAAGGCATTCAGGCAGAGAAGGCAGGGCTCTCCAGCAGGGTGGGGGGGTCACTCCTGGCTGGTCCCCACTGGTGGTGGCGGCGGCACAGAAGCCACTTGTGCTCTGAATGTGCAGGCCCAACCCGCTGTGGGGTGGGGGCTCAGAGGTATTCCTGTAGAAAGTGCAGCAGTGTGACTTCATAGTGCTCGCCAGACTCGGGGCAGCGGATGCTGTGTCTCTCATTGGGGTAGATCTGGGTGGAGAGAAGGCAGGGTTGGTGGCACTGAGGGATGCTGACCCGAGATGCTCGCCCTCCCCTGCACCTGGAAGGTCCTCCCCATTTCTGGCTCAGGGTGTTACTGCTGGGGGCCTCCTGCCTAACACCAGGACTTTGGAACTTGTGGCAGAGGGTTCAAATCCCCTCTCTGCTACCGACCTGCTGTCTCGCTCTGAGCAGCGACAAACTTCCTGGCCACAGCCACCTGGAACACCGGGTGGGGGCTACTGACCTCCCCGGGGCTGTGTGCGCACTCAGCAGAGCCTCTGCGCAGAGCACTTGCCAGTATGAAGGAGAAGAGAACTGCCGTCCCGTCCCCCAGACCCGGGAAGGGCAATGGCAGTGAGCCCAGCACTGCAGAGGAGGGGGCCTCAAGGGCCGGACTCTTGGTGTCTTCACCCCGGCCATTTCCATTTCACCAAAAGGCCAGGCTTGGACTGTGCATGCCAAGGCTCCCACGTCACCTGCTCCCTCCACTCTCCCCTCCATTGACTTTGTTAGATACTTTCTGGGTCCTCTTACCACCTAAAGGGGTATCATCCCCAGGGTGGGGAGATGACATGTTGGTGTCAAAGGCCATGCCCAAGGAATCACCCAGTCTGAGAGACCTGGCTGAGCTGACGCCTGGGCCCTTGGGTGGAGGGCGGCAGGCACAAGGGTCTTGCCTTGGGCTATAAGGCAAGGTCTCCTCCCTTCCAACAGCCCAGCGGTGCCTGGGGTTGGCTAGTACCATTGCCAAGTGGCCTGCTCCTCATCTCCCAACAGTGAGATGGGTTTCTGACTATATGACTCCTTTCTCTCCTGATCCGCAGCCACCGTCCCTGTTCATGCCTCTGGGAATATATCATTTGGCCACTGGTACCCATCCTTCAGATTTGCCTTTTTTAATCCATCCTGGGATGAATCACAAGTCTGATTAAACTGTTCCCAGCTCAGACTATTACAAGGACTTGCCTCCTGGGTCCTGCTGCTCCTGCAGCCTCACAGGCCCACTGGGGCCCTGCACTGCCTGTGACAGACCCTGCTGTCCCCTACCCCATCGTGCCAACCTGGGTCCTGGCCCCTGGCTACCTCCTCCCCCTTTTGGGTTGTGAGGGCAGGGAGTGGGTCTATCTGGCTCTCCATTGAGGCCCCAGCCCTGAGCCCTGGCCTGGCATGAGACAAATGTAGTATATGAACTAAAGAGCACCTTGGGCCACTAACCTCCCAGTCTAACTGTTTCAGGGTCTCTGAAACAGAAGGTGGGCACCCAAACATTGCCCGGCTCCCTCCAAGTTTCTCATCTTACATTCTCCTTCCCCTGGAGAGTCAGGGGGACAGGTCAAAACCTTTCCTGAGTGAGTCCCTTAGGCCCCCACAGCCTCACTGTCCCCATTTGAGAAAGTGAGGCCTGAAGTTGGCACCACCTGAAGTCACCTAGGGAGGGGACAGCTGTCACAGCTACAACTTCGAGTTTCAGGTCAGGAGGGATGCTCTGAGCTCTCTCCGGTCTCTTTGCCAGGAGAGTGTTTGGGGACGGGAGGCCTGCCAGGCGGCAGGAGGTCATCAGTCCTCTGGGAGTGCTCTGCAACAGGCCACAGCTCCAGAAGCCTGCCCTACAGCCTCAAGCACTCAGCTTCCTGACCTGCTGAACGGCAACCTGGCACCCGACCCGACCTGACCAATGTGTCGAGGCATCTGGGAAGCAGAGAGGCTGAGTGGCAGCAGCGTGCAACAAATCTGCCCCTCACCTCCAGAACGCCTCTCACAGCCGCCAGGCTCTAGCTTCCACTGCTGACCCTATCCTGCAAGGACAGTGTAACAACCCGCCAGCCCCCAGAGGCCCCAGGCTGTGGGGTGGCCAGAGGCTGTTGGTCCAGGGGAGCAGGGCAGTCGTGACCGCACACAGGCCCGCACATCTCACACCCTCCTCTCGCCCTGCACAAAGCCCAGCCAAGCGCTCCCCCGACCCCAGCCGCCTCTTTACTGATGAAGCCCCATCTCGCCTCCCAGGCCCGCCTCTCACAGCCCACCTCCAGGGTCCTCCTGGGCACCTCCAGGGTCCCACCCCTTACCACTGCAGCCCTGGCCCTGGGGCCAGGGCCAGCCTCTTCCTCCCCCTGCTCTGTTCCTGTTCTCCCAGCCACCTGCTCATTTTCTGGGCATGATGCCCACCACCCCGCTCTTCTCCTTGCTCCCCCCACCTCTCTAATAATTGACTCCCCACTCTCCTAAGCACCCTTAAATGTCACCTTCTGATCAAGTAACACATCCCCCCACCTCCTGAGATGCTCTCAATGTCCTGTTTGGTTCAGTCACAGCAAGTTTCTTGGTTAAAAGAAAACGTGTCTTTGTGACAACTTCCAGTGCTGCCTGGCTTCCTCTGTGAGGCTGAGCTGGGTGAGTCTGGCCCATTCCCAGGATGTTCCCAGCACCGAGGCAGTGAGGACGGGGACCATCAACACACAACAGCTAAATAAATGGATGGGCGGACCCTGGGAGGCAGGGGCGCTGCGGTAAGTGGGAAGCAGGTAGAGGTGGGGAGTGGAGGGCCAGCCTGTCAGGCGGCATACCCACTGTCTACACTGCCGGCTCAGGGGAGGGGTCCTGAAGCACCCAGGAGCCACCCACCTGGAGCTGGTAAGGTTTTCCTGCTCGGATCAGCTGGGAGACGAGGAAGTTTGTGTGGAAAAAGTGCACGTTCTCATCCAGGAAGCCGTGCAGGATGAGCAGGCGGTTGGGCCTGGAAGAGAAGGTGGGCAAGGGTTTGAGGCGAGCCTCTTCTCCAGCAGCCAGGGTTCAGGGAGCAGAGCGGACCCACCCCTGGCCTTGGCAGCAATAGGGTGGCAGCAGCAGCTCGGCAGACACGTGGAGGTAGATGAGAAAGCCGGGGCTCCAGCAGGTCTGGGGGAGACACCCCTAGCTTCCTCTCGGGCAAGGGGGTGGGGTGTGAGGCAGTGTTTGTGGGGTGCCTGAGCTACGCACTCTGGATGATGAATGGTCTAGCCTCGCCCCACCCCACGTACTCACCACCTATGGTGCCTACTGAGCACCAGAAATGTGGCAAGAATGAATGCAGAACTAACCTTTTTCACTTTTTACAAACTTATTGAGGTAAAATTTGCAAAACCTAAAATAACCTCATTTTAAAGAGGATGATGATGCATTCACAATGTGGTACGACCAACACCTCTATCTAGTTCCAGGACATTTCATCACCTCAAAGCCAATCCCCAGCTATGAGCCCAGCCCCTGGCAACCACCGACCTGGTCTGACTTGGTGGGTTGATTATTTCAGTGACTTTCAATGAGCATAAACTTAATTGTAAATGGCTCATGCAGATGCTGGCTTCCACACTGGATGGCATAGGCCTAGTGCTTGGCTGGATTTGCGTCTGACTGCTTACTGGCATCCCAGGGAGCATGCGCCGCACTGTAGGCCAAAGTGGCCTCTCCGGGAGAGGGAGCCGTCAGGGCAGGCAGCAGTGAGAGCCCCAGTGCCGAAGGCTGGATGCTCACTAGACAGAGCTCTCCAGGCAGGGGACACCAGAGCAGTCAGCTGTGGGCCTGGGTCCCGAAGCAGTGTCAAAATCTCCACGACAGCAGCCATTCAGACATGACAAGTAACCGGTGAATGGGCTCATAGTGGGCTGCGTGTTTTGGGGGGCGGTGAGGAGAAGCCTGGAGATGCAAAGTAGCGCGATTCTAGATTCTTCCTTAGGGCTGGGTGCCTCTTGCTCTCCTCCCAGAGCGCACCCCAGGTGTGCACTCCCTGAGGAGCCTGAGGACAGAGGGCTGCATGTGGGGGTGCCAGGTGCATGCAGAGAGAGGGAGGAGCGGAGGCTGTGCTGCCTGGCATCGGAGCAGTGCCAGCGACACCCTGTTTCTCAGGGGCCAGCCCAGGAGGGCATCATGGATCCAGAAAAGGTAAAGGCCAGGGAGGAGTGGTGAGAGCCATGAGGGGCCTCGGTGACGCAGAGGGCAAGGTGGGTGGGGTCTTACTCGTTGGGCAGCTTTTCCACGTGCAGGGCCACGGAGCCGGCCTCGTAGCCGAGCTGGTTGTTCTCCGGGATGTCCATGTAGCGCTCCGTGTACCCTGTGTCGTAAGCCATCCAGACAGTGACCGGGGCACCCGCGATCGCCACCTGAGTGCCACAGTGGACAGACAGAACAGAGAGAGGAGGGAGACACACACAGACACACGGGTCAGGTCTCCAGAGCCCGTGCTCGGCTGGCTGTCCTGGGGCCTCCCCAGGAGTTCGTGAGAAGCATGCACACGGGGGTGGCTGGGGTGGGTGGGGCTGGCAGGGGAGGGGCCCTCAGACCGTGTGTCCCCCATGGACCATGTGTTGTCGAGGGAGGGCGGGTGAGCTGAACGAGCGCATTCAGGCCGGGATCGGCCCCTCCCTGGCCCCACTGCCTTCCTGCCTCCTCCTCCTCATCGCCGCCCGCGGTGCCCTGACAGTGCCGCCGGCCTGGGGGCCCCTCCCCCGACGCTCTTCACACCATGCCCCACCTCTGCCCATCCGAGGCCGGGGTCCCGGGCTCAGCCTCCCACAGAGAGCTGCTGGCGGGGTTTTGTGCAGCCGGATGCCATCCTGGGGTCAGCAGTGGCGGGCAATGAGGAGGGGGGCTCGGCCCCATGGGGCTGCTGCGGGGAGAAACAGCCACGTGGCAAGGCCCCTGCCAAGATGCCTCCCCAGGGGGGCGGGCTCCGAGGGGCACGGGTGGGCGCTGGGCAGACAGGAGGGCGGGGGGCAGGGGTAGCACCCACCTTGAACACTTGGGGCTTGTGGATCAGCCCCATGAGCGAGAGGAAGCCTCCGTACGACCAGCCGTGGATGGCAACCCGGCTGAGGTCTATGAAGCCGTACTTCTCAGCCACGAACTGCAAGCCCTCCACCTGGTCCTCGATCTCCACCTGGCCCTGGGGACGAGGCCGGGCACCTCTCAGTGGCCTCCTCCCTAATGTCCCACCTCTCTTGTAGGGAGCCTTCTCTCTCTCGGATCAAAAACAATTTTCTGGAAGCTTCCCTTCTCTCCGGCCCTGTTCAAAACCTGCTCGCCCTCTGGGGCGGTGGTCAGACAGATTTGCACAAGTCTTGTCCTCTCACCTCCTAGTTGAGTGACGCTGAGAAAGTCATGTCCCCTTTACATGGGGTTTCCTCATTGCTAAAATGAGGATGGTAACAGAAGCAGGCCCATTTTATGATGGGTGTGGAGATTAAATGGGATGGTGCGTTTTCTCTAATCAGAGGCCTGGCACATTCTAAGGCTTAGTGAATGGCTGGTGTCATCACTGCCACAATCATCTCCACCCTTGTCATCACCATCATAATCATCCAGCTTCCTTCTCCTCATCTAATCCTTCTCATCAACACCATTAGCGTTAACTGCATCAATCACCACCATCTTCACCACGACCACCACCCTCAGTGTGATCATCACCTCCACCGCCACCACCACCACCACCGTCACCCACACGAGCATTACAGTCACCAGAATCACCATGAGCACCACCCCACAGCCACCGGTTCCTGTCTCCCTGTGGGGTGCAGCTCAGGGATGAGCAGCAGAGCAGACGTCCCCACTGATTTCAAAAGGCCACCCTGCTTAGGCCTGGCATCCCGGCTACCCACAGACCCAGGTTTTCCTTCGCCACAAAAGGGGAGCCCAGAAAAGGGAGAGAAGTTACCATTTGGTTTTTCAGGGCCCCTTCAAACTGAAGCCCCCGCTGGCACGAGCCCCTGCCGTCGATCACCACCACAGCGTAGCCCAGGGACGCCAGCGTGTTGAGCCGCAAGTACTTGATTCCCTTGAAGGAGTTATTCACCAGCTGCACCTGTGGGCGTGGCGAGGCCGGGTGCTGGGTGAGTGCTGAGAACGAGGCTCGAGGCAGTGTGGGCTGGTGGGCCGGACGCCACAGGGACAGGAGTGGCGCCTCCCAGCCTGACTGGGCCCTGCACTGTGCCGTGAAGGCTGTGGGAGGCCCTGGAAGGGCCTGGAAAGGTCACCGGGGGGTGGAGGTCGGGGACAGGGTCCCCCTGCATCAAGTCTTGCTCTTGGGAAGGACTACAAAGAGGAGGTCCCAAATATGTTCCCTTTTCTGCTCCAGGTCCTCTATGGAATTACTCCCATGTTTCTGTGTTTCTCTGCCTTTCTACCTTTAAGTTGTAGCTAAAAAAGAGACACAAAGCCTGGGCGCTGCAGGGAGGAAAGCAGGTTGGTGGTGGGCAACTGCTTCTCTGAGTAGCTCAAGCCAGCAATCAGCTCAAGCATTACTGTGCCCCAGGGCTTTCAGGGCTAGATGGTTTTCTGTGCAGGCCACCCAATGCACTGCAGGGTGCTGGCCACATCCCTCAGCCACTCAATGGCAGGAACATGCCCCTCCGCCGCAGGGCGACAACCCCACATGTACCAGTATCACTGGGTCGAGGGCGCAGGCCTCCAGTAAGAACTGCTGTCTCAGAAGAGCTCGCTTAGCCATCTGCCTGCCTTGCCCTGTCCATTCCTCAGAGAACTGGGCCCAGGACCAGCTACCTCTGTCCCCAAATTGGTGTTAGGGGTAAGGGCCACTGCTGGACAGGCGGCCCTGACAGACATATAGGGGGCACTGGGCTTCCCAGAGAGATGAGAGAGTTATCAGCTGGGAAGGGGGAGCAGGGAGGCTGTCTGGGGGGTTGGGAGGTGTGGAGTGTGCTGAGATCCAGAGACTGGAGGAAGAGGGCCCTCTTTTGTAGTCAGTGGAGATGAGGGGCATTGGGAGGTGGCCAGGGCACACTGGCTGTGGCCTGAGTCCTAGCATAGAGAGCAGGGTGCTGAGGAGCAGGGCCAACACCTACCTGGGGGCCTCCATACACAAAGAGGACGGTGGGGTGCTTCTTCCCTGGCTGCACAGAGTGAGGCTTGTAGATCATGCCATACAGTCGCACATCCGACCGTGTGTGGAAGTGGAAGATTTCCGGTGGCACATAATCAGGAGGACAGCCTGTGGGAGACAGGATGGCTGTTGGCTACTGGGCCCACATCTACCCAACCCTCACTCCACTGCCTGGCCCTCGGCTAGGGGGGCAGACTGGAAACTGTCTATCTGTTGTGCTTCCTGATGGTTTAAATCAGAACCTGAGAGCCAGAGAGGACTCTGTTGGACATGCTTGTGCCAGGCCTCAGTGTGGCCGGAACTAGTCCCCAGTAGCAACCCAACACTTGCTGACCTTCTATGGAGGTGAGAACACCTCTGGGATCTAACAGCCAACTTTATGGTTCCCTTCACACTTTTATTGATACCTTCAATTTTGCAAAGCAACACTAGTTTCTCAATCATGATAACAAACTTTAAGATAAATCTGTTTAGATAAACAGGATGAATCAATTTAAAAGTAAAATAAGCAAGCTGTGATGCAGTCAGGGGATGCAAATGTGTTCTGTAAAGGGCCAGCTTTTACAAGCCCAGAAGGCCCTGGAGTGGCCCCAGAAGTCAAGTAATGATTGGATGTGGCCAGATTTGCCAGGGGCCACAATTCTCAAACTTCTCATAGATTGGTCTTCAAACAGAGCAAGATTGGGAATTTTGGGAAATAGTAAACGGTTGCCTAGTGCACATTCCTGCAGGCCCAGAGCTGAGGGTCAGGACACCCCAGCTCCATCACTGTCCCCTAGCCCCACTGTGTTTGGTCAGAACCTCCCTGGCTTCAGTTTCTTCATCTGTAAAACCAGGGCCAGAGTTCCTCTTCTACCATGTCCCATGGTGATGTGGGGAGTCATGGACCTGAGCTACGGGATGGGGAGGTCTTTCATGGGCCCCAGGGGGTGACGGTATCACAAAATGCTTTCTAGTCACAAAACACCCTGCAAATGGCAAGAACTTCTATTTCCTAGAATGTTCTAGAGATTTCCAAGAGGCAAGGCTCTGGGCTCACGGAAGGGTGTCCTTTTTACTGAGTGATTCCTGTGCTGCAGGTCGCTGTACGGAATGTTGGTTTTGCATCCGATGAACTGCTGGTGTGCCACTCCATAGATGAGGGGACATTTAACGGAGACAAACTGACCTGTCTATAGCTGGGCAGAGTTTGAACCCAAGATCACCTAAGCAGAGTCCTGGTCACTCTGCAGGCTCCTGACAAGATGTCCCTTGTTCCCCAAGGCCCTGCTGATGATGGACCCCCGGCAAATTGAGGGTCCTGAGGGGAAGGTCCCACAGGGCCTCGGCTACTCACTGGCTGCCTCCATCATGCTGGCCCAGAACCGGGGCTGCTTGTGCAGGGGGTCGCTGTCGGGGCCGCTCAGCTTGTAGACGTGCACACAGGGCGGAGTGCCCACGCTGCTGTAGTGGCTGATGAACATGTCGAAGTTCTGTGGGTGGAGAGGGGCACTGAGCACCACGCAACACCGGCATCCCACCCTCACTTCCACACCCCTTGCTCCCAACCTGTCTACTCTGTGTGCTCACACATTCAAAACCCCAAGCCCCACCTGTGTGGGTGGGCACTTACACCATCATCCCCATTTACACGTAACCAGAGTAGGCTGAGAGGAATCGGTCCCTGATCAGGGTCCTGGGTGGTAACTGACAGACCCAGGGTGAGACCCAGATCTGTCTGATGCCTGGTCCTCCTGCTGGTTGTACCACCAGCAAGGTGGCACTAAATGCCTGCTCTGGACTAAAAAAGGCCTGTGCTGTTCCATTCTAGAATGTTCCAGGAGGCTAAGAACAGGTGAAGGGATGGTGGGGCTCACTGGGACTTGGGAAATTGCCCACCTGGCTCATGGAGCAGCTGTGGGAGAAGCCCGGTGTGGTGAGGCGTACAATCTCACCAGCTGACTCATAGCTGACCACGTAGAGGTGGTGTTCCAGCGGTGTGTCCTTCGTACCTTGGAAATACACCAGCTTCGTCTCCTCATTGACCCATATCTGCAGGGACAAGGGACTCCTTGTGAGAGGGCGCTGGGCTTCCCAGAGTGGGACTCCTTTTCCCCTGAGTGGGCTCTAGTCCAGTGACTGGAGAATCACCTAGGAAGGATGTGCTTCCCAGACCCTACAGGGCAGAAGCAGGCCCTGATCTAGCTGGTGGACTTGGAATCAAAACTCCAGATCCGGACAGTTCCTTCCGGACCTGCCCAGATTCAGGGTGTCCTGCAAAGGGTAGAGGCTGAGGGAGGAGCCACGAGTCTTCAACCTTGGTCCCTGGTGGGGTCTTCCCACCCCACCAACCCAGGTGCTCAGGTTAAAAAGTGGCAACTCCCTTCTCCGCTCATATTCTGGCGAACCCCCACCCTTACCCCCAGTATACCCCAATGTGGTTCTCAGGTGGTGCCCTCAGCAAGAGCAAAGAACCTGGGACTGCTCACAACAGCAGGGGTCCCTCTGGTTTCAGGCAAGCTGAGCCCTGGTGGACATGTGCCTGGATAGTTTTGTCCCAAAAAGCAATGCCACTGAGGGGCCGGCCACAGATGACCGGCCACCAGAAAGGAACCAGTTCTGCTTGATCAAGGACCCACGCTGGTCTGGCACGTAGATGGGGGACACTGTGTCTGAGGCCTGAGAGGCCAACGGAGGCAGCCTGGGGTGCCAGGGGCCCCCTGAGCGGGAAAGACATTGGAGTAGAGGCTCAGGCAGGACTCGGCACTGCTCTGGGGATGGTCCAGCTGTGGCCTTTCCGGCCATGGGGGTGGACCTGGCAACATGGTGGCAAAATGATTAAGAAAGGTGTGTCCTTCCGCCCTGCAATTGCGCCCCTGGGAACTGTCCCTAAGAACTTCACTCGAGAGGTAAATACAAAATGGAAGCACAAAGATGCTCAGTGTTCTTAATGCTAAAAAATGGTGACAACTTGAATGTCCAAAAGGATGGGGTTAGTTCCATAATAACGGTACAGTTATCTGTGGCCAAATGAAACCATATTTTCTAAACAAACAAAAAACCCATAAATCCCTAAGCTGATGACTACGTACTTCCTGTGTTGAGCTAACAAACAGGAACAATTTTCAGTGATTTCACTCAAGGGGAGAGGTCAAGGGGTTGGGTATGGGCATCAAGGATGATTCCTATTTTAGTCTGACCTGGAATCACTTTTTACCACAAATATGATATGGTGAATTTATTATTATTACACTTTAAACATAAATGAGGGTTTTCTAGAAAGAGGATGTTGCTCAAGAATCCACAACCTGTAGTTACACCTTAGTTTTGTCACAAGGACAATGTGGACTCAAAAGGAGGAATGTGGGGCCTCGTGCCTCCCCAGGCTGGCTCGCCCCCAGCACGGACTGGCTCCAAGGCCTTGGGAGCAGACTTTATACTGCCACTCTCTCCCTTTTTTATTCTTTAAAATGCTGCTAAAAAATTGCTGGTTGAAAAGATTAAGTGTGCAAACAGTAAAACAGAGGGGAGAACAGGAATAACACCAGCTGTGTGTGTGACAGACCAGATGCCAAGGACTTCAAATTACTTTAAAGCCGGGTTCTCCTCACGGTGATCCTGACCCCAAGGAATACATGAAAGCCTCTCAGTGGGTGGGGGCCACGGATGCTGCTCAACACCCTACAGTGCCCAGGACGCCCCTCCCTCAGAGGAGAACCCCATCTCAACATCCATGATGCTGAGGAGAGACCCTGATGTGAAGGTGAGAGGACTGGAGCTTTTGATGGTCCTTTTTACAGATGAGGAAACTGAGTTGGCTAATGGGGGGCAGCGCCAGGCTCCAAACCCATGATGCCTCCCGCAAGACTCCGCTATTGCAGAGTGACCAGGCAGTGGCAGGTGGGGCTTGACTGGCTGATACGGCGACCTACACGCTGCGCCCACGCTCACTCATTTTCATGTAAGGGGAGCGGGCATGCGCACCTGAGAACAAACACCTGGCTGTGCTCTGGGAAGACCTCAGGGGCCCATGACTAGAACTGGGGTTGCACTGGGAACACTAATGAATGTCACCTCTGCTCCCCAGCAATTCTGAGCTGCCCTGTGTCCTGCCCCCTTCTCTTGGCGCCCCAGCAGCACACTGGCTGGAGAAGAGCTCCCTGCATCTCCTCGTCATTTGTGCGGTTTCCTCCCTCTTCTGTAAGGCTCACTGAGGGGCATGTAGGGTGCCTCCACAGATCTGGCACTTTGAAGAGAGGACCCCAGGGAAGCCACTCTGGTCTGAGGCAGCTTGTAACTGGGGTGATGGGGTGATGGGGAGAGGGTAGGCTTCTCATCCACAACTGAATCTTTTGTTTCTGAACCTCTTAGGGGCTGGTGTGAGGATGGGCTCTGGTTGGCAGCTGTGGGACAATTCCACAGTAACATGAATGCCCCACACACTGCTCTCCTGAGGAAAGGTGGTTTCCTGAGAAGGGGCCAGGCCCCCTCACCGGGATCCAAGCAGAATGGCCCGTTGCCCTGATCCATGGGATTCCAGATGGTCAGCTCCACGGCCGTCATGACCCTGGGCTTGCTGAAGGAGCCAAGAAGGAAGTGAGATGTCACAGGGACCGGGGGTGGGAGTGTGCGGGTGTGTGTGTGCACAGGTGTGTGGGAACTCTGGTACCTTGGAGCCATGCCTTGCCAACACTTCCCATTCACCGCTGGTCAGCGCGACCTCCTCCTTGATAGGGCATTTAAATTCATCTGGAGGAAAGGAGAGGAAGAGATGTCAGAGGGACCCTTCCAAATCCCACCTGAGCAAACAGGCCACGCAGGCACTGGGAGGAAGGGGAGTTGTGTGTGGCATTTCTGCTGCATGGAAGATCAGGCAGTTTGTGGTACTGCCCAATCCTGATGCGTGCGCTCCCCTGGGTTCCTGGCAGCCTGGATGTCACCCTCACCCAGGTCTCTGTGCCTTGTGCTAGCAACTGCCGCAGGCTTGTGTTGGGCTTGGCATCTAAACTGCAGGACTCATCTCAGGTGACACTGCCCCAGGGTACACCGGGCAATGTCTGACGACATGTGTGGTTGTTATAAGTGGGGAGTGCTACGGGCAGTAAGTGGGTGGGGGCCAAGGATGTTGCTCAACACCCCACAGTGCCCAGGATGCTTCCCTCCCCCTGAAAATGGTCCAGCCACAATGTCCGTAGTGCTGGGGGAAGCCCTGCCCTGACCTCAGAGAGTGTAGGTTTGGCTCTCAGACCACTCTGCTTTCCTGCCCAAAAGAACCCTTCATTGCATTTTAGGCTGAAATGCCACCCCATGTGCTCACACCCCTCTGTAATTCCATCTGACTCCCCAGAACTCAGGGCACAAGAACCTGTCCATGCGGCATTTCTCTGTATGGCACTTCAACATATCCATATGCTGCCATCTCCTGAAACTGTCCCTCTCAGTCCTTCTGTCTCAGACTGGACATCGCAACACCTTCCAAGCATCTTTGCCAACCCCATGTCCCTTTTACTGGCAAACCATGTAAGCTCAGCAGTCCAAGTGCATCTAGGAGTGAATCCACTTGTAACATCTCCTGGCCCCTTAGGCTATGCTCCACATAGCAACCCCAGGAATAATTTCCAAGTGATATAAGATCAATGGTAAAAGCCAATCTCCCTCATAGCCCTGAAAGCCCTGAATGACCCACCCCCATGCCCTCTCTCCCAGTGCCTCACTCTGCTCCAGCCACACTGGCCTCTTCACTGTTCCTCCAACATACCAGGCCTCATCCGGTCCCAGGCCCTTTGCATGGGCTGTTCTCTTGGCCTGCGGTACTCTGTGGCTGCTTCCATCACCCCTCCAGGGCTCTGCTCCATGGCACATTATCCAGAGATAACTTCCTGACCACCCATTTGAGAAAGTCCCTCACTCTCTGACCTGCTACATCTCCCTTCTCCCAAGACAACATCTTTAATTGTTTTTGAATGACTGCCAGTCTCTTATACTAGAACACTCCATGACAACAGGAACTTTTCTTATTCTTTTTCTATATCTCTAGCAGCTAAAGCAAAGGTCAGCAACTTTCCCTACAAAGGGACATGTATCGCATCCTGGCTTTTTAATCAACAACGACTGGTGCGTGGATGGTGTTCCACACAGAGTGTAGGCAGGTGTAAAGGTAAAATTTTATAATTATGAAATTACACTCTATGATGTTCACACAATGACAAAAATCAATTACCAACCCATTTTTCAGAAACTATCCCTGTCATTAGGTGACGTGTGGCTACAGTAAATACTTCACTTTTTGAAACATGCTGGTTCTGATATGACAACTCAATTCTGCGGTCGTGGCAGAAAAACAGCCACAGATAATATGTGAAGAGTTACCATGACCATGTGCCAATAAAACCTATTTACAAAAACATGCAGTGGGTCAGATGTGATCTTTGGGCAGTGTCTCTGGTGTGCAAAGGGCTTGGCTAGTAATAGCTGCGCAATAAATACTGTTGACTGCATGAAGGAAAAGCTGGCTATTATGAGCCCCACAGGCCATGGCTTAGCTGCAGGAAAGGCTGGTCTCTTACTCATCGGCCCCCTCCCTCCTGAGGCGTGCTCCATCATGGCCATGGGCGGGATCAGTAAACAAATGGTGCACAGAACCTCAGATGGTGGAGCACTGAGCACTGGCATTACTCAGGCTTTGCTCACCTTCCCCAGGGCTGAAGGGCTCAGTCCAATCATAGCCACTGGGTTTCAGAATGGCAGTGACCTTGTATAAGTGGCAGAAGCCAGTCTTGCATTCGTTGGCACGGATGAAGCAGAGCTCGTCCTCTCCCTCTGATTGGGGGAAGGGATAGAAGATGTCATGAACCTGTCCAGGCAGAAGAGAGGAGACATGTCAGAAGGTGGGGCCGTGCCGTGTGGAGGAAGGCGAGGCTGCGAGAGCTCTGCCAGCTGTCTGAGGTGGGCTAAGCCATGGACTCTCTCTCCCAGCCAGAGGCCCTCCTGCCTGAACCTGTGTCCTGGCTTGGGCAGACGCAACCTGACACTAGCCCTGGCCCAACTGGGCGTGACCCTGATACCCAGTGGGGCACACACACCCGGCACCTCCCTGCCCTTACGTTGATCCACACGTCAGTGACCTCTTCATACACCACATATGGCTGGACATTCCTGGGGACAGCTCTGGCGAAGGCGACTCGCTGCTCCTCGTTCTTGGTGGTGGGGATGAACAGGGCTGGCGGGAGGAGGACAAGCTGCAGTTGCTGCTGGGGCCGGTCCAGGAACATGGCCCAGGCGCTGAGGATGAGAGAGAAGCTGGGGTCCTTGGGGACTGTCAGAGGAAGCTGCCAACCTCACCAACACACAACCAAGTGAAACCCAGGGAACTTGACCAAGGTTTCCCGGTTGGCACAGTGCTGGTGAGGGAAGACGGGAGGGCTGACAAACCCTGCTATCACATTGTGCTGCAATCACCCCATGTCATTGTCTCAGACAGTTAGCAAACGTCACAATTTCTGCCAAGTTCTTAGCCCACACGTACTGTCCTACATCTCATATTCTGTTCTAAATGGACATCTTTTTAACTTAATTGTATTTTAAATGGAGACCTGCCGGTAGAGTCACACATTAATGGTGCATTCTGGGCAACGCGCTGCCAGGCGATGCTGTGCTGTGAACATCGTGGAGCACAAACACATGCCCCAGGTACTGTATGCATGTAGCCTACGTGAAGTATGGCTTTTTGGGCACCACTTTGGTCTATGTGGTCTGTTGATGACCAGAGCACCATTACGTGCACGTGAGAAGAGACATCTCAACAGAGACAGGATGACTAAGACCAAACCTAAGAGGAACACGGCGGGGATGCGGGGCCCCTGCCAAAGGCGCTGGGCCTCAGCGTTGAGTCGCCTCTGCTGGGAAGGAGGCCCCACGATGCCGAGCAGGCCGGCAAGGGCGTGTGGTCCACACAGCTTCTTTCACAATAACCACTCAGCTCTGCCACCATGTGGGAAGGTTGCCCACGTGCTCCCTACATGAAGGCAGACAGCTGTGGAAATGGGGATTTTAAGCATTTTCCTGTGTGAGGAAATATCATTATTCTTTGGAGTTCCCCAATGATTTAAAGATACAGAAGCCACTCCTGGCTCATGGGCCCACCCAGGGCCCCTGGGCCCTGAATGTGAGTCTCCTGGAGTGCATGGGACAGAGATACTCACTACTTGCCGTCCCGCGTCCAGCCAGCCCTGGCGATGTATTCCACCTTAGGGAAGAGCGTGCTGAAGGGCTGCACCAGCTCCTTTTCCTGAGTCAAGATGATCTGAAGGGAAAGCGCGTTTGGGTCACACTCTGCCCTAACCACTCACTGCCCAGGATGGGGCAGTCTCCTCCCCACTCCGTATATCAGAGTCCTAGCCCCCAGTGCTTCAGAATGGGCCTCATTTGCCAACAGGGTAGCTACCAATGTCAACAGCTCAAACAAGGCCATATTGAAGACAGGTGAGACTGACTCAATAGGCTCGGTGTCCTTATGAAGGGGAGATGTGGGCACAGGCACCACACAGGAGGAGAGCATCTTCTGACGAGACTGAGGGCCACCATTTATAAGCCAAGGGCAGAGGCTGGAACCGACCCTTCCCTCTTAAAAGCAATCAGCCAACACCTTGATTTCGGACTCCAGCTCCCAAAATGAGACCATACACTTCTATTGGTCCGACCCCCAGTGTGCAGTACTTTGTTAGCATAGCCCTTTGGCTGGAAACTGAGGGTTCTACTCTGGGCTGTCACGTAGAGCCAGGTGGCCTTGGGCAGTACACAGCCTCTGGACACCGCACCCTCCGCGAACAAAGCGGGCCTGGCACAGCATCTGCCCAGGAGGACTGAAGGGAGAAAGGCAGCAGACCCCAGCACGTTTACCCATGTGTGCTGTCACCTCCACCTCAGGACTCAGCTAGTATGTGGGGTCAGGCTCCATTTACAACAGCTGGCAGGTGGCTCTATGTGTGGGGTTCAGCAAAGTCACTTAGGGAGAATCCATGTAAAGACCAGGATGTTCCAGCTGATTAGGGGCTAGTCATGCCAAAGACAAAACCAATACCCATAATGAAACATAGAGGTGTCCAGTAGGCCCTCAAACACCACCACTTCATTCCACATTGTTCTGTTACAACGTGGATGAGAAAAACCACCTTGGCCAAAGGTGAGCAAAGTGATGTTAACTGAGGACCTGCTTTTGTCATACGTCATTTCACTAAAAGCCTGGTTTTTGAGAACCAGCATGACGGGAGGGCATGCTGTGCAACCACGTGGTGCTGAACAACATTACAGCCAATGGCAGGCCACACGCACGACAGCGGCCCCAAAGACTAGGCATGCAGTGGCTGCACCATTTTGGTGCCATTATACGCAATGCCATTCGCACAACGGCACACATGCCTGAGGACAAATTCCGCAGAATGAATACTCATCATAAAGGGACACAAGACCACGTGATCTCACCCTGTTTGAAACAGCACACTAGAAGTCACGTTGGCAAATATATATAAGGGCTTCCCTGATTGGTCTGAGATTTCTGACCTGTAACTTGGGGGTGAGGGATGCTTCCCTTTGATACCTGGCACCCCTACATTCAGCTTCCTTCTCAGTCACATGGCTCTTTGCCCTCTTGCCTCTGGGGTCCCAAACAACTCCTGGGTCATAAGGAACACCCGTGACCTCAAAGTTGAGAGAGAGAAATATCCAAAAAACTAATGGGCCCAGGTAAGTGATATGTGAGGATCTGCCGAACTCCTGGGGTGGCGGGAGCAAACCAATCTGAGATTGGGGCCCTCCAGACATGCCCACAGAGCTCTATTTATGAAGCTGGGTCGGAGGTCTGGATCTGCAGGTCACCCCCTTCCTGGGGAAAGAGACCCCTGCTCAGTCTCGCTCACTCACATCACCATTCCGTGCCTCCTGACCATGCGGGGTGGCGGGGCTTGGCTCACCCTTCAATTCAGAGTGGGGTTCAGAGCGGTGGCAGGGGAGCAGGGGCTCCAGGGGGTGCCTTGCCAGGTGTAGCTGGCCAGGGGAAGCACCTGTCCCCGAGAAGCGGGTGAGGGGCCTGCTGATGTCACCACTTCTCCCCAACATAGTCCTCAACCCTCCTCTCCTTGCAGGAAGCTCCTGCTGGGACACGCCAGGCCCTCTTACCTTGCCCTCACTGTCGGTCTGAAATTCAGCCAGTTTCAAGGCGATCTTGGGATTCTTGCTGCCTGCAAAAACAACAGTGGGTTGAGTCTGGCAAGTGTTGCCTCTCTGGCCCCGGCATGAAGGGCTTCAGGCGGGGCTTCTGACTTCCAGCCTGGATCTGGTTCCTGGCAGTGACCTGAGGAATCATCTTTCCCATTTAAGAACACAGGCTCTGTGCTGGTGGGGAATCCCTGGGGGACATAAACAACTGGACGATGCCTCTCTGCCTCTGGAGGCTTGAAAGCTGGTTGGGAAGACGGTCACATCCAAAATGAAGTCATCAGTGACGCTGAAGGTGGCAGACAGCTAAGCAAGGCCTACCAGAGGCAGGTGGCTTATTGGCTGGGACCAAACTCCAGAGGGGGGATTTCATTCAGGCTCCAGTTATTTCTACAACAAATCTCTGGCCCTTACAGCTCTAGCTTCCTGGGAGAGTAACATCTTGAGCTCGGTTTTCTCCTCTGTCCACTGTGGAGGGTGGAAAATGACTTTCCCAGTTTGCACTAGGAAAGCCCTGGCTAGCACAGTACCTGGTCAGCGCTCACTACAGATTCATGCTAACGATTCTTCTGTGTGTTTCCACGGAGGCCACAAACAGGAGGCCTGAGGCCGAAGCTGGCCTACATGTGTACTTTGTGGCTCATTAAGTATTTTTAGTACAGCAAGTGCTAGAATAATGTTTTGTTCAATGTTGCTGCAAAGTAATGTCAATGAGAAAAAAAGAAAGCCCAGCCAACCTTGAACAAAATGATGTTATTTGAGGATTTAGGTTCACTTGTGAATTATTGCACTTAAAGTTTCCAAGAACCTGTCAATGACAAGTGAGGACCACTGTAACTCAAGTGACATTTAAGAGCACGGAGATTTCTCGGATGAGTCTGAATTTCTGGTTTCTCTTGAAAAATCTTTCATGTCTGTTTTCTCGCTCAGTGGAGAATCCAACATGCCCAAGGACAGGGTCCCCTTGCTGCCCCCCTGGCTCCTACTGCCTGGGCTCTGGGCGAGGGCAGGTCACCACTGGTGGGCACTGGCCCTGCTGCTAGTCCCGAGTCTCTGACTCCATCCCTGGCAGGGTACTGTCGGTCCATTCTGGGTGAACCCCAGCCCTACTGCACTCACCTGTCCTGGGGTATCGGTAGGAGTCTGTCTTCCTTTCTTCTAGTGCGGGAGAGGGAACGTGAATTATCTCTACCTCAGACTCGTCGACCTCCTCATATAGGATTCGCAGTGTCTTGTAGCCTTCTGAACCTGGAGGGTGGGGAGGGGGTGGGCAGGGCTGCTGAGGGGGCTGGGGTCTCCTCTTGCATGCACCAGGACACCATTCTATGGCTGAGCCCAGACAAGAGCCCAACTCAGCAGTTTACTAGACATTAAGCAGCTCAGGCCTCAATTGGCTTATGTGTTCAGCGGGAACCAGAGTTGAGCTACTTCCAGCACAAAGAGGATGAGAGGCAGCCATGTTGTGGGTGCCACGGGCTAGGCTGTGTCTCTGCCGAATTCCTACGTTGGAGTCTAAACCTGGAACCTCAGACGTGAGTACAGTTGGAAACTGGGTTTTTTAAAGAGGTGACTGAGTTAAAATAGTATCATTAGGGTAGATGTTAATCTAGAATGACCAGTGTCTCTATTGCTTCTTCTTTATAAGAAGCAATCGGAACAGACACATCCAGAAATGCCACGTGAGGCCAGGGAGAAGGTGACTATCTGCACACCAAGGAGAGACCTCAAGAGGAACAGGCTTTGCCACACTTCATCTTGGACTTCTAGCCTCCAGCACTAAGACAGAAGAAATGTTTGTTGCTCAACTCTCCCAGTCTGTGGAACTTTGTAACAGCAGCCCACGCAAACTGAGGGGCAAGGCCCAGAGAGGATTGCGGATTGGTCCTGCTGCGTCACTGGGTGGAGCAGCTCATGGAGAAGTCTGTGCTGACAGTGCCGTTTCTGTGGGAAGGCGCCTCCAGCCCTCTCCTTCCTCACCTGCAGCTCCCACATCCTCCCTTAAGACTGACTTGGGGCCAACCAAGCCTGAGGACCGGCTCTGCCCTTGCTGCCGGGGGGCTGAGGGGCTGGCTGGGCCACGTGGCTTGGGAGTACAAACCAAGGCTCTGACTCAGTGCCTGGGACTTCTGCATCTGTTTGCTGGGCACACAGGATTCCGGGCCCTTCAAGTTTGTCCCACAGGACGCATCTTCTCAGATGGCCACGGTCTGAGAAAAGCCCTGTTCCTCCATGCAAGATGGTATCCGGGCAGCCCGGGAACTCAGCACAAGAAAATGGGGCCCAAGAGGGACAAGCGTCTCCTGGACCCCAGCACTTCAAGAGGGCTATGTCAGAGACGTTTTGAGCTTCCGTAGAGTATTAGGGTTAGAACCTTTGAGGTCGTCTTGGCCAGTGGATCTCAACTGAGAGCCATTGGTGGCCTCCCGGAAGACATCTGTGGTTGTCCTATTTGGACAAGACATCAAGTGAGAGGAGACCAGGATCCTGTTCAACATTCTTCCAAGCCCAGGTTGGCTCTCAGCACTGAGTGACGGGCCCCAGTGTCCACAGTGCTCCAGACGAGAAGCCCCGTTCTCAGCCAGTTTACAGGCCAGGATGGGGGGACACTTGTTGCAGATTCAGAGGGAGCTGGCTGCATGACCTCAGGACCCTAGTTCCTAATCTGGGGCCCTTTCCCCAGGCACAGATCACGAGAGCACACACGGCATTGGGGTGCCTTAAAGACCCAGGTGGAAGGAATGGTTATAGGTTCTCCCCAGTCACGTGCTGAACCTTTCTAGGTCTCTGCAGTACCAGCAGCCCTGGATGCCTCACTGGTGCTTGCAACTCATCTTTCCCTAAGAATTAACTAGAATGCATGGTGCCAATTTCTCCCCTTTGCAGGATTCTAATGCCTAGCTTCTATTTATGGAAGGCTAGGTTGGTTTTCCATTTACAGCAGGACCATCACCTTTGCTTTTATAGTCATCTGAGGAAAAGGCGAGCTGACACAAAGGCAGCAGGGTATAGCACACGAGAGCATGTGGCTGCGATGGTGGACAGTGAGAGTTGACACCTGGAAGCTTGGCGTCCACTGCCATGTGCCCCCCAAAACACACAGAGGCACTGAAGCCGTGGAGAAACTAATTAGCAGCAGAGGTCTGAGTCAAAACTGGGCCCCCAGAACAGGGGAAATTTTGGCTGGGGTGCGTGTAAACAATGAGACCTCAAGCCCACTCCTGCTGGTGCCATCAGTCTAGTGTATCCCAGGGAACAACCTCCCATGCTTAGAGGACTTGGCTTGAGTGGTGTGGGGGGGGGGGTAAGACGCCCCCACCTTATACACGCAGAAAAACACACAAACAGGCCTGCTGCCTGGCCTCTCTCACACACTGCTGGCAAGTCCCTGAGTTAAGATGCATGAGGTTTGCAACCATTCTCAGAGCAGTGCAGTTCTGGCTATGGCAGGATATTTGGTCCTCTGCCCTGTGGTCACTCTCTGTGGGGGACATTCTGGGCACTGTGGGGTATGGAACAGCATCCTTGGCTCCCACCCTCTTGATGCCAGGAGCTCGGACAACCACAGAATTGCCCTGGGTTGGGAACCATTGATATGCTCCCAGGTCACTGGGACATTTGTGCAAAGATGTTCACAAAGCCAAACCAAAAGCAAAAACTGGGCCAAAAACCCAGAGTCTCTCAGCATAGAACTAGTTAAATAAACTGCAGGACACCCACGGTTCCTGGACAGTACCAGACTTAGTGCTCTCTGTGTGCTGACAACAGTGGGACAGTGGGCCGATGTGTCTCCACCACCACCAAAACTCACATGTTGAAACCAAACTACCAACGTGATGCTGTCAAGAGGCAGGGCCTTCGGGAGGTGATGAGGTCACGAGGTGGCGCCCTCAGGAGAGGGATCGTGCCTTTATAAAGGGATCCCAGAACACGGTTATCAATGAACCAGGAGCTGGGCTCTCACCAGACACTGAATCTGCCAGCGCCTTGACCTTGAACTTCCAGCCTCTAGGACTGTAAGAAGTAAGTCTGCAAGCCACCTAGCCAAATGGAAACTGATCTCAAGAGAAAGGTTGGTGAGATTATGTTGAGTTGAAAAGAGCAAAAGAACAGGAAAGCTGGTGGACTGTGACTCCGCTGACTAGAGAAGTGTGCACAGAAGTGTTTTTAAAAAATGGAAAGGGACCTACCCTCCCAGGAGGCCGTGGGACACCACCAGTAACCAGTAAAGCGATCAAATTCTTCCTGGATGACAAAAGTAGCTACACCTGCAGATTTGGGGTCTTCAAGGACGTTGGATAAACCTGGAGGAGGAGAGTCAGATGAGCGATGAAGAATCTAGTGAGCTTCTTCCATCCATTCAATGCCAGAAGAATCCTCACCCAGCAGTTTCCACTAAAAGTGTTTCTGGACACATCCAGAGTCCACACTGCCCCCAGCTGAGGTCGGGTTTAGAGAAGGGGCTCCTAGACTATGGGGAAGGGTGAGGATCCAGGGCTGGGGCAGAGTTCTGGAGCATTTGAGTAATGGTGAGGGTAAATCCAGGGAGCAGCTGGAGCAGGGTGGGCAGAGTGGCGGAGGGAGGGACCGAATGAGTGGCTATGCAGAGCAAGTGCCCAGCACGGCAGGTGCTGTGGTTGGGCCAAGTCAAGCAGAGAAAACCACACACAAGGAGAAGGGTCCCTTGGCTGGACTTCCTGCAAGGCCAGCAGAGGGCTGCACAGGAGGGGGACAGTTGAGTGCAGGGCCTGAAAGGTGCCTGGGGGTGGCAGTGGTAGTGGTGAGGGGCATCTTTCTAGAAGCTGGATTGGCAGTAATAACAGTCCTCCCTGGCCTGACCAAGTGAGGCAGTTTCCCACCCTCCACTGGTTTTCACCTCTGTGGCAGAAGGTCAGCCGCCGCTCCTCGCCTGTCTCAATGTTGGCTACCCACAGGTCACTGTTGTTGACGAAGGAGAAGAAGGCAGGGTCGGCAGGGCAGATCTTGGGGTCCATCCGGGGCCCAGAGCACTGGGTCTTGATTTCTAGTGGTTTCATGGGGGATACCTGGGGACAGAGTGGTCTGTCTTGGTGGGGGTCCAGGATGCCACCCACCTGCCTGCCCAACCCCAGCCAGTGCCCAGGGCTCACCATGAAGCCATTTTTGCCACCGTCACGACAATGGAAGAGGCTGTTGCTGGCCTGGAAGAGGAAGAGGCCACTCTCGCTGTGGAAGTCATAGGAGGTAATGCCAAAGACACCCAGGCGTTTCCGCTCTCGCAGGAGCTCCTCCTCCCGGGAGTAGACCCCATGGTGTGGTGTGGCCTGGGAACACATGGGACCGGACACCAGCATTAGCCACCAGAGGCCCTAGCACCCAGGCTAGAGAGCCTCTGGTTTGGCATTCCCGGGAAGAATATGACAAGCTTTGTTCCACACCAGAAAGAACTTTCTGATGAGCAAAATGGGCAGCAGAGACCCCCACAGGGTGGTCAGAGGGAGCCTGAACATGGAGGTCGTGAGGGTGTCCAGTGGGCCTGGATAGAAGGCATGGCTGTTGGGGTTTCTGGGGCTCAGCAGAGCTTTCTTGCCTCTCAGCCCGTCTCTGGGCTAGCCTGTTTCTGCTCCCCCTTGGAACCTCTCCAAAGCACAGAGGGACACTGCTGGGGAGCTCTCCCTGGACCCCAATGCCAATCCTACAGTCACCCCACCCCTGCCCAGCCATTCGTAACCTCTTCTTGCTACATATTTGTACTTTCTGCACAGGTGGTGGGTGGGGCAAGTTCAGGGCCATCAGGTCACCCAAATGCCCAGCCCTGGGGGTGTTTGGGCAGATAAATTATTGTGGACACCATACAGCTGTGCCAAGGAGAATTCAGGAGATGGTTTGGAGATGTGGAAGAATATTAACACAGAGAAACACATTCTGGAAAAGCACAACCCAAAGCAAAATGACCACTGTGGTGCAAAGAAAGCTACAGACCAAAGGCACAGGCCACAGTGACAGCTACTGTACTGGCACAGGGAGAAGCAGAGTATGCCAGCCCCACCCCCGCCTTGTGTCACTTTTACAATCAAGAATAAACAAAGGTAAATCAAAGTGAAAGGGACTCTATCCCTTACCCACCATACCCTGGAAGATGGCCAACTTTCAGTGACGAGGTTAATCATTTAAAAGGAAGAGACGCTTCTGATAAGCATTCTTAAAGGACTTTGGAAGCCCTGGCATGGGGCGTGAGCAGGAACTGGGGGACTTGGAACCTCCTCCCTGCAGGGGCTACACTGACGGCAAAATGGTGCATGCGCTTGTGCCCACTCCCTCCCCGGACAGCTCACCTGGAAGTGATCCAGCATCTGCTTCCAAGACAGGAGCAGCAGAGCCTCTTTCCGGACCTTTTTGGGAATCTCAGAGTACAGGAGGGAGTTCTCTCGGCTGCCATAAGGCATCCCTTGGGGGAAGAGGAGAAAACCAGAGTGGGTGCCCTTGTCCAGGATGGGAGGCCTTCGGGGGGGCTCAGGCCTCAGGCTCTCCTTGGCAGGCCTGGCTGCTGGCGGTCCTCCCTGGGGATGCCTGGACCCCAGGTTGCAGCATGTCTGCAGCAGTGAAAGGGTCTTCTGCCTGGTATGTCTGTGCTTGGCCTAAACGACAGAAGAACTAGCACGAGAAACAAAAAGGGGCAGTGGGTGATCCCTGACTCCCGATGGGTGAGGCTCTGGTCTCCTCTCTGAATAGCAATTACAAAGGCCAGGAGCCAATCTGGGGTAGCGTAAGGGCAAAGGCAGCGAGGACTTGGGAACTGAACCTACTGTAGGCGTTTCTCCCCACAGGAACTGCTGACACCAGGGCTGGGTCGCTCTCTGTAGGGGACTGTTTTGGGCACTGTTGGATGCAGAGCAGCATCCCTGGCCCCTTGACTCCCTGTCATGACAACCAGAGATGTCCCCAGTATCCCCCAAGGGCAGACTTGAGCTCAGGTGAACCCACTGATCTAATCTCACCTTACCTGTAAAGTGTTAGCTGCCTGGTGAGGATTCTGTGTGGAGTAAGGGAGTAAAAGCATAAAGGAACAGCTGAAATACTGGAAAATAAAATAATGGTGTATCTTCCAACTGGCAGGACCCAGTAATGGCTAACACTACTGTTGTGATTAGTAAAGTTAACAGCAGACGCAGACTCTCTCTGATAAGCCTTGTTTCTCTACTCTGCTGAAGGTGGGGGACCAGAGCAGCGCACCCCAAAGGTGGACCCTCAAGCAGCAGAAGAACGGCCCGTGGCAGCCCCTGTGCCTGCACTGACCATGGGTCACAGACAGCGAGGCCCCTGTGGTCCACTCTCAACGTGGGTTTCTCCACAGGAAGCCCCTTTCAAGGGCTGGGGGAAGGGAATAGAAAGTGACCGAAATGGGGATGGGACTTTTTCCTGGGTGATGGAGTGGTCTGGAATTAAATCATGGTGATGACTACACTATGACTAAACTACGACTATCAAAAGCACTAAGATGTCCACATTTAAAAGTGACTTTCGTGGGATGTGGTGTCACAGGGCAGTGTGGAGGGCGGGGAGGGAGCAGGTGACCATTCTCAAGTGAGCAGTCAGGTGTTCTGGACAGCTGGGAGAGCGAACTTTCCAAATAGGAAGTCAAGGCCACCTCCCCCTACCACTAGATTATTAAGTGTGACCCCATTCGGCCTCTCTCAGCATTCCCTGGGAGAGGCATCTGTGACAGTGTCAGTCAGCCTTTGAGGCAGGGGTCTGAGGCAGCCCCTGACAGTTGCTGATTTCTGCCGTTACTGCCCCGCCTGCCATATCGACTAGCTGAGTGCCATCTCTGGGGACAGTGCACCCACTCCAACAGCCACCAGCATGGCCCAGGCCTGTGCAAGCAACACTTTCTTCACCATGGGCTGTGACTCCATGTCTGGACACAAGACACTGGGACCCAAGAGGTCTCACTTTCTCTTGATAAGGGATTCCCAGAGCTGTCCTCCCCTGGCCATGATAAGATGCCAGTTTGTAGGAGCCAAGTCACTTGGAGCAGGAACGCAGACAGAATGGGCATCCCATAGTGCAGCTTGAGCCCTGAAGCTGAAGCCACACCTTTCTCTGCTGTCTTGTCCTCATCAGGCTTCATCACCCTCCATCTGAAAGAATGTTCTCTAAGGAACCCATGATTGGCTCCACGTGCCCCAAATAAGAAGCCAGTGCCAGCAGGAGAGGCAGCGTCCCCGGGGAGGCAGAGGGGAAAGATGGTCCCAGCAGGATGGGCATGGGCCCTGAGGTTATGTTCAACCCACTAATGTCTGACAAGGGGCTGGGCTGGTGCAAAGACATTATTATAAACACTTGGGAGTTCAAGGGGGGCCTGCCCCAGGAACTCAGATGTAAAGTGAGGTCCATGGTACCCGAGGGTGTTAAGTGATAAAGGCTGTATCAGCTCAAGTGTGATAACATCAATGGCATGACTTTTGGGTTGTTGTAGAAATGTCTTGGAGTCTCTGCTGGGTCCACAGCCCTTGTGTGGTGGAGCTGCCCCAACTCACAGGGGTGGGCTCTCAGGGTCTCCGTGGACTTCAGGGACACACCAGCTAAGTCCCAGACATGTGCAAAGGTCACAGCTGAGTAGACACCAAACCTGCATTGAGCCCATCAGATTCCCCCTCTGGGAAATCTGGAGAAAGCCATTCCATTTTTGATGGCAGCGGGAACATGTGACCCCAGGGCCCTGGCAGCAAAAGGCAGATGGACAGTAAGGCAGACACAGGAAGGAGAACACACATGGGCAGATGCCAGGCTTTGCTGCTTCAGGTTCTCAGGGCCGTGTCATGAAGCCCAGGGATGGGATTGTGGGGGGAACAGGGGTAAGGAATTCTGCCCTGTATCCCTGGGATAACCACGTACTTATTATGAAGTGCCTTGGTGGCTCAAACTAGCTTGGAGGTTTCTGCCCTCCAGACTGTGGGTAGCTGAAGTGTCCCCATTCTAATCCCCAGAACCTATGACTACATTACAGTATGTGGCAAGAAGGACTTTACAAATGGAATTAAGTTAAGGATCCTGAGATTGGAGGTTAGCCTGGATTATGCAGGTGGGCCCACAATGTAATCTTGACTGTAGCAGCCAGGCAGAGAAGATTTCACATTGACAAGAGGCAGCAATGTGACTACAAAGGCAAAGATCAGTGATGTGGCCGCAGCAACCAGAGCTGCACGTGGCAGGGACAGATTCTTCCCTTCAACCCAGAGAAACTGATATCAAACTTCTGGCCTCCAGAACCATGAGAGAAAAAATTTCTGTTGTTTTAAGCTACTGAGTCCAGAGTGATTTGCTCAGTAGCTCCAAGAAACTCGGTCACCTGAGACTGGAGGTTAGCCTGAATTATGCAGGTGGGCCCACAATGTAATCTTGACTGTAGCCAAGAAAGACTGCATTGGGAGAAAGGGACCGGGGTGGGGGACATGGAACCAAAAAGACAAAGAAGGGCAAAATCCCACCAGTCTGGAAGGCCACCATGGGCCATAACTCTTGGCTACTTTCAGTCTAACAGCAAACTCTCCCTTAGCTAAAAGAAACTTTACAGGACAGTGCGAATTTCTTCTAGACTAGAGTGGGCAAACTCTTCTCTGCAAAGGGCCAGAGAGCAGATATTTTTTGCTTTGAGGGCTATATGATCTGTTGCAACTATACTCAAAGCAGCCACAATCAGTATATAAACAAAGGATGGTGGCTGAACGTCAATACAACCCAATTTCCAAAAACAGGTGGCTGGTGCCTGCCAACCTCTGCTCTAGAGCATGCCACTTCTGACCGTACTTGCCAATCACCATCTGGTTTCCACATGGGGAGGGACAGCCATCTGGCGTCCTACTCGTTCACTGTCATGGTCAGCCACTGGCTGAGGATGACCTTCACCCACTGATTCCGTCACCCCTTCCAATGTGATCGAAGGCCTGACCAGGGACTATCCCAAGCCCTGTGGACACAGAATGACATGGCACAGAATGCCGAGGGTGTTGAAGCTGAAAACCTGGCTCAGGTCAACAGTAATGTGTCACGTTCAAAGGAACACACTTGACACTGTTCCTTCTCAGCCTGTAGAACCTTTAGGCAAAGTAGGATGACATTCAATTGCTCAACAATTGACTGTCCACTGACTGGGTGCCGGGCCCTGGTGTGGCCCAGCTGCTGAGGCAACAGATGTGCACAGGGTTTAATTCATGCCCTGAGGCTCTCTTACGTCCAGAAGGGAACACCTGCTCGTAAACTGCTGCAGATAATGCAGACTGTGCAGCTCCCAGAGGAGGAAGTGACAGCAATTAACATGGTTATCCAGGGAGCTAGGGCAGGGACAGCAAACATGTGACAAAGCCACCCTCTGTGGCTAGCCCATGATGGGGACGTGGTTACGCAGTCATGGAGGATGTGGTTGTGTAATCACAAGGCACCCTTCCTAGAGCCTCAGGATCCTTAACACATCACTTCAAGGTGAGTGCCACCTGGAATTACCTGTAACTCCCACTTGCTTACAAGCCCTGGCCCAACCCAGGGAGTGGGAAGTATCTCAGAGTTGGACTAGCTGATTAGTATCAGAAAGAATCTCAGGACTTGTACCCACAGACTGGGCTGGACCACGGTGCCACTGGAACACTGTCCTCTGCCCCGCTGACCTGCACACCTGACCCCCTCGGGGGTGGTTACCCCAGCCCTACGTGGTAAGCAGACATCACCATGGGTTGCATGGCCTCAATGGTCAGCTTGCCTGGGGCCAGGCCATCTGTCTGGACCTTCTAACTAATGGGTCTAACTGACCTCTGGAGACAAGAGAACTCAACACCTGGCCTGAAACACTACCCTGGGCCAAGGGCAGTGAGGGAGGCCTAAGAGGGCCTGGAGGGTCTAAGAACATCAGGAGGGTCTGCTGGGGGCCTGGTGGGCTCACCTAGGTAGTAGAGGCGGTGGGAATGGGGGCCCGACTCGTCAGTCTTCTGCACAAACTGGAAGTCGTGTGGAGCCTTGTTGACAATGAGGCCTGAGTTCTTGCGGCTGCCGTGGATGATGCCCCGGAGGCCGTCCCAGGAGTGCTTCTGGACCTGGAAGCGGGAGGCCGGGTCCTCCATCTCTACTGCGTCACCCCGGTTGGCCCCAGTGGCCATCCTCTCCGCCCCGTCAGAGTTCAGTGAGAAGCTATGAGGAGGAGGGTACAGGACAAGACGAGGGCGAGAAGTGAGAAGGCAGGTGGCACCCGAGCTCCGCTCACAAGCTGCCCCCCTGGAGACATTCCAAGCCCTCCCATGTAAACGTCCCGCAAATATTTTTCAAGTCCTTCTATTTCTCTCCAGTACCACGTACACATCAGAAGGCCAAGCCACTGTCATCTCTCCGCTAAATTATCACAAGCATCTCTCATTTGGACTCCCCACCTTTATTTTAGTCTAACTCCATTGCTTAAACCCTTTCCTGGGTTTTCCATAGCCCCTGAGTCAACACCAGTCCTCATCATGACCTTCAAGATGCCCATCTGTGGAGCCCTGCTGGGCTCTCGAACACTCCTTGCTGGGCAGCACTATGCCCTGGCTGAACTGATCTTCTCTCAGCCCTTCAAACAGGCCTGCCTCCCTCCACCCCAGGGCCTCTGCACATGCTGTCCTTTCTGCCTGGAACACGTTTTACCTCCCTTTGCCTGACTAACTTTTAATCAGATTTTAGTTTAAATATAGTCAGGTGTAGTTTAATGACAGAGGCATGTTCTGAGAAATGTTCTGTCAAGTGTTTCTGTAACTGTAAGAACTTCAGAGTGTAATGACACAAACTTCGATGGTACAGCCACTCTACCCCGAGTTGACATGGTACAGCCTCCTGGGACCCTCATTATGTATGTGGATTGGCATGGATGAAAATGCCCTTATGCGGCAATGGCTGTCCTGTTGGGTCCTCAGAAGCCTTCTCCAACCATCCACATTGAAGTTGGACTCACTGCTAACCCTTCACAGGGCACTGGTGCTCCCTACCCTCAGAGCAATTGCCAAGACGGTACCATCTATCGCCCCCTCACCTAATCTGTTCACAACTGTGTCCCCAGAACCTTGGGTCGCCTGATGCACACAGCGGGTGTTCCAGACAGTGAGAGATGTGACTGTGTCACTGAGCCCACGGGACACGCTTGTGCATGTGCAAAGAGCCACGCTTAATGGACCAATCACCAAACCTGCTTGCCATCCAGCAGGGGAAATTGGGGCCTCACTGGCAGCGCTTGGAGAAGCATGGGGACCATGGCAACTCCAGGGGGAGGAAAAACGAGCACTTCCTCCCAGGCCATACCACTCTCCCCTTCTGCTTGGGGAGCAGCTGTTGCCTTCACTGGCTCCCCACCCGCCCCACTCCCACCCTCCCTGCTGAACACACTTCTTGACTGGATTAGACTAGCCAGGCAAATATTTGTTCTAAGGAAATCTAAACATAGCCATGGTGACCTGGTTCTAGAGGCACCAGGGTCCTCTAGTGACACCAGAGGGAGGCGAGTGGTAGTGAGTCGGTGGGCAGGTTCCAAATGGCTGGAGGTTTTTTCCTCACTGTCTGGAAGTCTGGAAGTAGAGGGAGAAATTACTCCCTACAGACCAGGATGACTTGGGGTCAAGGGCTTCTGAGAAGTAAAGGACTGGGCTGGTGCTTCCTCCACTTGGGTGCCTTCTGAGTTCCAGAAGGCTTTGTCCTTTGCTTATAGAGATCCCCCAGAGCAACCAATGCAAGAGAAAGGACCCTTGCCTGCTTGAAGAGGCCAGCAGAGAAAGAGACATGAACCAGTATGCCCCCCCACCCCAGACCATGGAGGCACAGCTGACTGAGCTCCTCCTGATGGCTCAGAAGACACGGACTACAGGCCACAGTGCTGTCAGGGCCCTCAGATCAAAAATACCAAACCCAGAGTGGAGAGGAGCTTGCCGAGGATCACACACAGGCCTCCAGGCCAGCTGCAGGGCTGTAGTTTACCTCAAGGGAGACAGGAGCCAGGGCCAGAACTGGCTGAATGCTCTAAAACCCACAGGGCCCCAAGTGCTGTTGGCAGGGAGCCCAGATACCATGCAGGGGGAACTCCTCTACCTGACAGGGCCCCCCAAAACTCTGCTGTAGCAATTTAAGCCTTGGCCATGGCAATAAAGTGGATTAAGACCTCCAAAGGAACCCTACAAGCTAAAAGCCTGGCGTAAGAACTCATAAATCACGTCTTACTTTCAAAGTGAAAAAAAATGAGAAAAGTCATCTTGCCTCCGATTACCGCAGAGTGCCCAAGGAGCAAAAACCCGATCCACGAGATGAGAAAAGAAATGAAACATTGGAAGAAACTTCTAGGAATCTTCTAGATGTGGCCAGGCTGCTTCAGCTCCCAGACAGGCTAAGGCTGAGCTCTCCACCCTGGCCCCGCTTCACTGCTCTCTTCCCCAGAGGCAAAGCAAGACACAAGAGGGTCTAGGAGGAGGGACAGGTGGACGGAGAGCAGCCAGTCTGAAGCGAGTCCGAGCTCGCTCTCCCTGTCCAGCGCCAGCCTCTGCTGGGCCTGAGTCAAGAGTTTACACAGCTGAGGAAATGAAAACGGATTCCTAGCCACTTAGGCCAGATCCACCTACACTTCCCTCCGCCAATCACTGGGAAGCCTCACAGCTTCACAGCAGTGACGCCAGCAGCAAGGAGCTGTGCTCTCTGGGTCTGGGCACTGTTAAGGCTCGGTGGGAGGTCCATGATCTCTGTCTGGGTTCGTGCTCCCTGAGCCAGGACCACCAGACCCCAGCGGCACCTGCTGGTGAACCAAGCAGGACCTGTGATAAGGAGGCAGCTGGAAAGCAAAAAGGAACTGTGCATTCTCAGCACAGGCTGTAGGCCGGGGGCACTTAGTGGCCACAGCGATCAGGCAGGAAAGCAGATGGGCAATGGACAGACCAGGCAAGGGAGATAAGGTGTAGGGGTCTTACCATGCTCTGAAAGGAGGAAACACGATCGAGTGCCCCTCAGATGGGGTTCCTGGGAAACAGCAGGCCATCCTCTGCCCCAGGAGGGCTGCCCCCAGCACTGAGAAGACCTCTGGTTTTATAGGCAGCTGTGCCCACCCAGGGCCTTACAAACGAGTGAGAAGCTCAGATCACCATCACTAAAATTGGCCCTCTGATGCATTTACCCACCTGTTTTCAGAACTTAAGTCTGAGAAATAAAACACTATGCTTGCTATCACCTGCCTTCCAGAACCTTCTTCAATTTCCTTCCTGCCTCCCCAATTGCTTGAGCTTACTTAAAGCAAATGAGTCTGAGAGTATGAAGAAAACTGACCTCAAGACAGGTCAGTCAAGGAGCTCCTGCAGCCTCTTCATCTCGTGCCAGGCCCCAGAATGGAATTTGCCAAGTGTTCAGGCCATGCATGGATAATTAGGTTTAATTCTCACTGTAACCTTAGGGAATGAGTTCTGGGGTCATTACCATTGTGGAACTGAAAAGTGGGCTCAGAGTCAAATGACCCGCCCAATGTCAGCGGGAAAGGAAGACGAGGCGTGGCTAAATTTGTGCGACCCCAACCCACCCTAACCACCAGGCCAGCAGTCCCTACTTGGGGCTGATTCTGCCCCCAGGGGACACTGCGTGATGTCCAGGGACATCCGAGAGAGGTTTCTGGAATTGAGTGGGTAGAGGCTGGGGATGCTACTCTACACCCTACGGTGCCCAGGATAGCCCACCGCAGAGCGTGGCCCCAAATGTCAAAAATGCTGAGGCTGAGAAACCCTGCACAAGCCCGTACTGCCTTTCCCACAAAGCAGCCAGAACTGCACTTCGGGGACACGCAGGGAAATGAGGGTAGGGGAGCGAGGGGCAACAAAGGGGCCTTCCCAGACCTAAGACATTATTGGAAATTTGGGCCCTCTGTATCATCCCCACCAATCCGAGCTCCCCAGATTGTGCCCCTACCTTCTCCAACTTCCTGTGCCGCTGCTGTCCAGGCGTAGCTTCTTAACCTTCCGCATTAACCACTCGGCTGACCTCAGGAGAGCCTGAGAGGGAGAGACCACGGGGCTGCAACTCTTGGCATCCTGGGAGGATAATTCTTGCCCCCCTCCCCCAAGCCTTTGGGGAACAGCTAATGCCAAGGGCATTCTGAGGAGGCCAGTAGCTCAGACACTGCTCTGAAATTCAAGAGGCCAACTGACATTTGCCAGAAACCAGCATCTTTCCCCCCAGCTTTCCCCCGGGTAAGCTGTCCCTGAGAAAAAGGGAGTTTCAAATGACTCCAGGGATGCCACCTGCAGGCCCTTGCCAGAAGCTGAAAAATCACCAGTTCCACACTCAGCTGCTCCCTGACCTCCCCTTCTCTGCTCTCCCTAGCTGTGATCTCCAGGCACACTGGTCTCATCTGTCCTTAACACACCCGCTTCTTCCCACCTCAGGGTCTTTCTGCTTGCCCGTGCCCTTGCTGGTGACACCCTTTTCCTACTTTTGGTTTGACCTGTTCCCCTTTATCCTTTGGGTACAGAGGTTGCTCCTGGCACCCAATGCAAAGCTGCTGCCTTGTGACCCATCACAACACCTGGTCTTTCTATCCAGCACTCACTGTAGGGCAGCGGTTGTCAGTGGAGGGATTCTACCCCACAGGAACACCAGGTGAAGTCTGCAGACACCTGTTGTCACAGTTGGGGAGACTCCTGGCATTGTGCGGTTGGGGACAAGGGATGCTGCTTAACCTCCCCCCTCCAGGGCCAATAGGTAGGTGCCTGGATACTTAAAAAAGATACCCCCTACAGAGAACGATCTGGCCCCAAATGTCAGCAGTGCCCAGGGGGAGAAATTGCATTCATTATTTGGAGAAAAGATTGAGCTAGATCTTTAGGCTCACAGTAGACACCAGAATGAATTCCCAGTGGGTTAGACAGCATAAACTAGGGTGACCCCTCCCCAGCATCTATGAGTCATCCTCAACAAGTATGTACATTTAAACAGCACAGCATCCAGGACCTCAAGAGATCAGATGATGTTGGAACAGTCTTGTGGGGGAGGGAGGTAGGGGGAGTTCTCAATGAATCCCCTAACTTGAGGTCTCAACCAGGTATAATTTGCCTCCCCAGGGGATATTTTGAGTCATCACCAATAGAAGGCATTGTTTGGTGGCGATACAACCCCACGATACACACACGGCTCCCCCACTACAAAGAGTGATGCAGCTCTAAGTATCATGAGTGTTGAGGCTGAGACCCCCTGCTAAATGAGTGTGTATCTGCACTAGATTTCAGCTTCAACGAGGCAGGCCCATATCTGTCCTGTTCCCACTGCATTTGCTGAACCCACAGCAGTGCTTGGCAAACAGGAAGCACTCAATGAACATTTTAGGTTGGATGACTGAGTCCCCGTCCTCACGTGAATGCTGCTGTCTCAAGTTTGGCCATAACCACCTTCTCAATAAGCCAGGTCCTATGATGCTTAAAAGGAAAGCAGTGCCTGGTTATAGGACAGAGATCACAATGGGAGAGATGAAGCAAAATGTCACCATAAAGAAGTGGTGGCTGCATTGTTAGTCCAGAGATGTATGGGTTCAAATCCCAGCTCTGCCACTTCTGGGCTGTGTGACCTTGAGGGAGCCACTTAATGTGCCCAACTAAACCATAATGCCTCAACGTTCCTGGCTATAAAATGGAACTGCAGAACCTATGCCCAGGGTTACTGTGGGGATTACATGAAATTCACAAGGAAATTTCCTGGCACAGAGGAAACTCCATGACAGCCAGAACAAGTTAGTTAAAACCCCACCAAGGGGGACCTAAGTCCTTCTCAGAGGCAGAACCCACACCACTCACTGAACACGGTCCCCTTTTTCTCCCTTAGTCCATCAGGGGGCAACTGAAGGGAAGGGAAAGCATCCAGCATGGACACAGAAAGCTGTAGTCACTGGCCTGGGTTGGAGCCAACTGTCCCTGAGGGCAGTGACCCCAAGACTTAGAAAACCACTTGCTGACAATGTCCATATGCTACAGGAGGCAAATGAATCACACCAGCCCCAACTCAGCCTTCCTGACCACCAACCTCCCCCCTCTAGCCCCCTCCACAACTGACCTTCTATAGGGTCCGGAAAGCCTCCATTCCAGCTGCAGGCACCAGACACTTTAACGCTGTGGATTAATAGAAGGACAGGCTTACCACTTAGTCTCCTTCCACCGGGGAGTTCCAACTGTCTGTTTCCTCTACTTGGCTGGAGTTTAGAAGAACAGTCATGCAGCACTGTCTGCATGCCCTGACCACATCTTGGAGAAAAATCTACCCACGGGGCCCAATTCCCCCAGGACCCATCCAGGGACTGGAGATTGGAGACTACAGCGTACACTTCCTGGGCTTTAGTCCCAGCTCCTCGAAAGCAAGTTTGTTCTTGCAAGTGCCTTCCTCAAGGTGGGGTGGGGAGGTGGAGGGGAAAGGAGAGGGAAAGGAAGGCACGGCCACGTCCTAGGGTTCAGCTGCAGAGTGGACGTGCAGCGTCGAGGCTGGTGGAAGTCTGCGCGAGAAGGCGCAGGGCTGGACAGGTCCAAGGGCGGGGGCGCGGGGCGGGCTGAGAAGGGCTGGGTCCTGCGGAAGGTGGGTGGGGAGACAAAGCCCAGGCGGGTGAAGGGGTGGGGGCAGGTCACAGGTCAGGAAAGCGACCTCTGCTCTCTCCGCGGGAACAGAGTGCCGGGGCGCGGACACCCGAGCAAGCAGGCAAGGAGGTTCTGGGGTGCGGCCGCCCCCGGAAGGGGCCAGAGTCGGGCGGCGGGGCAGCCACGGGGCGGGCGGGGAGCGGCGGCGCGGCGGCCGGGCCGGGGAGGGGCGGGGGGGAGACGGGGCGGGAGGCCGCGCCGCAGGGCGGGGAAGCCGCCGCGGGGGTGCGGAGAGCGGGGCCGGCCCCCGGCGGCCAGGGCGCGGGGAGGCCGGGCGGAGAGCCCCGGAGGCCGGTCAAAGGCGGGTCGGGGTCGCGGCCGAGGCCGGACAGGGCGCTCGGGCGCTGCTCACCGGGGCTCGAGGCCGGCGCGGGGCGGCAGCCGGGCTGGGCAGGGCGTCCCGGCCTCACGCGCGCGGCTCCATGCCCGGGACTGCGGCCCCGGAAGTGGCGGGCGCGGGGGACAGCGGCGGCGGCGGACACGGGGGACCCGGCGGCTCCGGTCCCTTTGACCCGGAAGTCGAGCGGCCCAGGCGGCGCCGTGGGATTGGCCGCCTCCGGGCCCACACCAAGGCGCCGCGGCCGGGGGGGGGCGCGTCGGCGCGGCCCGCGGGGCCTCGGGAGTCCCAGGTACTGAGTTTTCGGCGCGCGGAGAGACTTTGGGGAGAAGAGCCCCCACGCAACTTGGTATCGCCCGGCCGGCCCAATGGGACTTTTACTAAAGGCATCCCGCGAGCCCACAGAGCGCCGGGGCGTTGGTGGTATAGTGGTTAGCATAGCTGCCTTCCAAGCAGTTGACCCGGGTTCGATTCCCGGCCAACGCAGGCGAAGTGGTGTCTGTTTTTCCCCTCTTGCTTAGTAAAATCATCAAGTAGAATTTGCTCTCAAAAAACTGCAAATCCCATACTGATTCATAAAAAGAGGAGAAAGAAGACGGCGCGGGTGTTCTATTATGTTTAGTTTGTAGTACATTTTTTAAATTCTGCAATATGATAAAGAAAAACGCCTTCCCTCTCCCGCCCGGGATCGAACCAGCGACCTGCCGAATGTGACGAGGCCGTGATAAAAGACACATTTCGGAAATGTGATGCCACATGCTTCTTCGTATTCTTTGTATTCTTATAGATAGAAATTATGTTACAGAGATTGTTACATTGTGGCACCTGAAATAAACAATATTTCATTATGGCCCGCTGAGGTATTTTCCCGTTGCTCCTGTACCACCCATTACTCTGTTTAATGCAGAAGCAGCTACCGTGAGAAAAATATAGGGAAAAATTCAATAAATGCACAACATTCCGCCCCCTTCTTACATTCACCAACACTGGCCATTAAAACAATTCTAGACAAAACCTGCTCACACGTCCATCCTGATGTCAGTTTCTTCAATAGTTCATCTTATAGATGGACTCTCTTTACAATATCACCTTAGGGCCTCCCTGTGGCACAAGGGGTTGAGATGCAGCCTATGAAGCTGTCGGCAGCCTCTGCAGCACGAGTTCCATTCCTGGCCAGAGAGCAACCCACATGGCGCGGCAGACCTTTCCTGTCCGCCCCTCCCATCGCCTCAGCAGTGTACTTCTGTCGATCTGCCTGTTCTGTTTCCTGCTCTGTCTCTGGTGAATCCTCTCCCCTCCTCCCCAACCCCCCCACTGCACCTCTGACCTGTACCCCAGCTCTTGTATGCATAAATAAATAAATCTTTTTTAAAAAATCACCTTAGTGTCTACATATATTTACAACAGATATTTACCTCCCAGTCCTCACCTCCTTCTCTCCTTGTTCACTCTGCTCCACTCACACAGCCTTCTCACCAGGTCTCCAAACTTTCCAGGCCTGGTCCTGCCCCAGGACCTTTGCACAGGCGTGTCCTCTGGCTTCCCCCAAGTATTCCCAGCATTTACTTCCTCTCCTTCAAGGTTTCAGTGATAGCTCCTCATGGGTTTTTCTCCCAGTCTGACTAACTTTAAGCCTGTCCTTTTCCCAGCCCCTGTCACTTCATCATTTCATTTAGTGGTTCATTAGACTCTGACATAAACCCATTTGGAGATTTTTTTTGTTTCTTCTCTGTCTTCCCCAGTGGACTGTGAGTTCCACCAGCACAGGCTTGTTTTGTTTTTTTTTTGTGGTTGGTTGTTTGTTTGAGCCAATTTCGTTCTCTACGTGTTACTGTGGTCTCCAGGAACAATTGTTAAAATCATGAACAAAAAATGAGAAGCTGACCAGAAAAGATCAAATGCCTGGGGGCGGAGGTGAGGAAGCAAAGGTGTTGCTTCCTAGAGACAAAGGTGAACACCCCTGCGAACCCTATCAAGGCCTGAGAGCTCACTCACCTGCAAAAACAAACCCTGTCTTGAAAATGGCCTTTTGGGGCCTCCCTGGTGGTGCAGGGGTTAAAGACAGCTCTATCAAGCTACTGCCAGCCACTACAGGACAAGTTCTATCCCCCGCTGGCCAGGGACCTACCCACATGGCGCAGCAGACCTCTCCTGACTCACCCGCTGCTCCCCTCAGCAGTGTACTTCAGTCAGTCTGCCTGTTCTGCTCCCCACTCTCTCTGGTGAATCCTCTCATCACCCACACCTCTGGCCTACACTCCAATGTTTGTATGCACAAATAAATAAATCTTTAAAAAATAAAATAAAATGGCTTTTTGGTCCTTCAAACCCACCCAGGGCCGTCATCATGCTGTGTGACACCCAGCACGTCACGCCCTCTCTCAGTCTGTGCTTGCCTCGGGTCTGGTACTTGTTCTGGGGGAGACTACAATCGTGACTGAAAAGGATAATTATTCTACCTTTCCACTAGATGTCAGCAGAACCACAAGCATCTGGCAGTGGCCCCCACCCTCTTCCCACCCAACACTGCCCCTTCCTGAAGCCCACCCCACCCTCCCTTCTGGCTCCACTGAGCCCCAGACTTCAGCATCTGGAAGTGAGATCTTTCCTCCACGGTGTACCCCAGTATTTACAGAAGTGTCTCCTGGCCCCAAGCAGGCGACTCCAGCAGAGCAGGGGTGATGGTCTGTTTTACCACAAGTCTACCCATTCCTGGGGCCTCCCCCAACACTGGAGAGAAAAAGGAAAGAGGGGGGGAGAGGGGACCTGCGTGGGGTTCCATGATTTCCGCCTGGGATACGTTACTTGCCAAGACTGGCTGCGTCAGGCCCCTTTGTCTGACACTGACATGCATAAAATAATGGAAATGCCTGCCGGGCACTGTTTTAGAAATTGTCACACTTTAAACTCATTTTTTAGTTCTCCCAATGACCCTGTGATACTGGCACTGGCACATAATTGCCCCCCTTTTAATGGTTGAGGAGCCTGAGGTGCTGAGTTTAAGTGACTTGTTCAAGGGGACACAGAGAGGTTAAGTAACTTGCCCAAGGTCACACAGCTTATAAATGGTGGAATCGAGTTTGGAAGCCAGGTGGTCTGGCTCCAAAGTCCAAGGTACAAGACTAAAACCAACTGCCTTCTGTGTGGATAAAGTTCAAGGTAATCAGGCCTCCCCGGTGGCGCAGTGGTTGACCACTGGGCTGCGAAGCTGCCCACAGCCTCTGCAGCTCCAGTTCAATCCCTGGCCACCTGCGAGGGTCCTACCTGGCGCACAGACCTCTCCTGCCGCCCGCTGCTCCCCTCAGCAGTGTACTTCGGTCCTTCTGCCTATTCTGCTCCCCACTCTTGCTCTGGTGAATTCTCTCACCCTCCCGCGCTTCTGACTGTACCCAGTACTTGTATAAATAAATAAAAATTAATTAAAAAAACAAAACAATAAAGTGAACAATCCAGTAAGTTGAAGCTTTAGAGTATCTGTTTAAAAAAAAAAAAGTTCAAGGTAATCAAGATAACTTCTATAAAAATAAAAGGTCATTGGATTTGAACCAGTCATTAGGAGATCTAGGCCGGGCCTTAACAGGGCTGTGAGCAATTAAGACCTAGTATCCAATAGGTTTCTGGGCAAAAACACAGAAGCAGCCCAATGTCTACCCACAGTTTGGTGAGTCCATAAAATGAATTTGAAGGCCTTTTGTGTTCTGAGTTGGGACAGTTTGGGGAGTTGGATGTTGTAGGACACCACTTAGAGAACCACAATTCACAGAGTACAAATATATATTAACTTGGTCAGACACGTGGGCAAAATACCCCTGAAGGGAACCCATGAAATGGGCAGCAGGGTAGCTGACCATGGAGCAATTGGTGAGGTACCAGGGGGCTAGGACATGGGGGTTCAGGGGAGACCAACTTTCTACGCTTACACCTTGACACAATTGAGTTTCTACTTTCCAAACTCTCAAAAGTACAGAAAAATATGTGGAACAATAGAATCATTGCTTTGATACACAATCTTCTTCTACAACTCATTTCATAAAGAATGGAGTTAGGGGAAGCGTAAGGGGGGTACCCTGATGTAGAAAGAGCCCTTCCTCCCCACCAAGACACTTGTTAAAAAGAGCAAAAGGCAGA